CAAGATTCTCCGGGCTCATCATTCGAGAGACCCGGGATTTCTTCGAACCATAGCGATGGCTGCAGACAGCTATGCATGGGTCTGCCCTTGTGGGCGCCTATGTGGCAAGCGCCGCATTGAAGTGGCTGCGTCAAGGTTGCTTGGTGCCGTGGCTGCATGCGTAATACTATTGTCTTTCGCAGCTGGATTTCGTAAATAGTATTTGAGTGGTTGCATGAAGGCTGCGTTTTGGTTTGTCAGTAGATTTTCTCAATTTTTGCGCTAGCAATTTTCCTTTTAAAGTTCCTATTAAAAAGTGTTCCGCAATCGTCTTTTTTTCGCTTTGGCGTCGAGATCCGGTTTTGGAGCTGCAATTCATGCTGTGATTATGTACAAGAAAGCTTCTCTGTGTAAAAACTTTTTTCTGTAAAAGCTTGCTGTGTGCAAAAGATTTTGTGTGTAAAAGCTTGCTGTGTGTAAAAGCTTCTGTGTGTAAAAGCGTCTCTGTGTAAAAGTTTGTGTGTGTGTGTAAACGATGGCCACGTGTAAAAGCACTGTGTGTAAGTGTTCTGTGTGTAAACGCTTGCTGTGTGTGAAAGCTTGCTGTGTGTAAAAGCTTCTCTGTGTAAAAGCTTGTTGTGTATAAAAGCTTCTCTGTGTGTAAAAAGCCAAGAAGAACTTAGCTGACATATGGGAAGACATGAAATGAGATGAGAAGAGCTCAGATACGATGAGTTGAGATGAAGTGCAAGTGTGAAGTGTGGAGTGTGGGGTGTGAAGAGTGCAATGTGAAGTGTGAGGAAAGTGTTTGCTTGACGTTGCATTGCACCGGGGTCGCGCGCAGGTCATGTTCTTGGACAACAACACAGCAACAGCTTCAAACAAAGCACGCACGCACGGGCCTGGCTGGCGCACGGCGCATGCAAGTTCCTTAGTAGTAGTACTGTAGTACTGGGAAGTGATTCATGAAAGCTTAGAATGACATATGAGAAGAGATGAGATGAGAAGAGATGAGCTGGGATAGTGTGACGTGTGAAGAGTGCAGTGTGAAGTGTGGGGCGTGAAGAGTGCAGTGTGAAGTGTGGAGTGTGAAGAAAGCAGTAGTGAGAAGTGAGAAGTGTGAAGTGTGGACTGTGAAGTGTGAAGTGTGGACTGTGAAGTGTGTGAAGTGCGAAGAGTGCAGTGTGAAGTGTGAAGTGTGGAGTGTGAAGTGTGAAGTGTGGAGTGTGAAGAGTGCAGTGAGGAGTGTGAAGTGCGAAGTGGAGCTTCACATGTGACATGTGAAACAGGACACCACTTTCGCAGAATGTACGCACGCACGGGCTTGGCTGGCGTGCGGCACATGCAAGTTCTATATATGAGAAAGGTCTTATATATTCCCAAGGCAACTTCCGCCCCGCCTCGTGCGGGTACTACTGGTAATTATGATATGATACGGGATAATTATCACTACGTATTCATTATCATGATGATCATCCTGTTTTTTCTGCCTTTGCCTTTGACACCTTCTGGGCTCTGTGGCCCCCAGTACGGCGAGAAAAAATGGGAGCACTTGCCAAGTCTCCTTTGCAAGCGCGTTTTGCACACGGAAGCGCTACGAAGGCACAACCTCTAACTCTCACTTTCTTTTTTTTGATCTTGCTTGTTGTCCTCTCTCTTTGTCTCTTTCTGCCTCTACATTTGAACGGTTTCCTTTTGTGCATGTGCAGCAATTGTCATCTGCTCGGCCCGAGGTATGGCGAGTGGCATTCCGACAGGTTGTGCGCATTGGGGAGAGCGCCAAGGCGTGGGAGCAACAGAAAAATGGGGCAGACCATCCAACTTATCCAAGTTGTGCAACTTGGGTGTTAAACAGTTTTCTTTTTCGGGACCATGCATATCATCGATGTCATATCACCAGACATTTGGCTTCCAAGAATCGGCTTTGGAGCACTTTATCGATTGTGCTGCAACTGCAGGGCAATCCCGTCTGAGTCGCGCTGAGCGATGCTGAGCGTCTTTTAAAAAAGAGCTGCTGAGTGATGCTGTGACCAAAGGAGGCAGTGCAGGCACATGGCACCCTCCGGTGTGAATGGGAAATCCCTTTGAACAATGGGCATGTCTCCATACAAATATGTTTGTATGTATATATATATAACTGAAGAATATAGTATTTAATGCATAATATTTCATATATTATAATTAATACATAATATTTAATATACAGTATTTCATATATAGTATTGAACACATAATTAAGTATTTAATATGTGATATGAAATATGATATATGATAAATATGTATATATACACACACTAAACAATATATATATATATAGTAGATATTACACAATATGTAATATTAAATAGAAAATATTACACATATAATATTACACATACAATATTTTACAAAATATTTAGCATATAATATCTAATTTAGAATATTCGATATATAGTATTTGATGTATAATATTTAAAAAATGACATATAAAATATGAAATACCATATATCATATATAATATATTATATATAATTCCTAGTATAGAACATGTAATCTGTAAATATAACATCTATAAATATATAATATATGAAAATAAAATACATATATAGTATAAAAATATAATGTATAACTGTATAACTATTTATATAATATATAAATGCCGTATGTTAATGTATAATATATGATTTTCAAATAAAACATATACTATATCGTATTTGATATACAATATATGGTATATGATATATCATATATAGTATATTAACTATGATCTATGATCTATCATCTATAATCTATAGCTGTAATGTATCATCTGCAATCTATAATCTATAATCTCCCTTCTACCTACCTATCTATCTATCTATCTGTCTGTCTATCTTCCTTCCTTCCTTCCTTCCTTTCTTTTTTTCTTTCTTTCTTATCTATCTCATCCATCTTATCTATCTAATCTATGAAATCTATCTAATCTATCTATCTAATCTATCGATCTAATCTAGTCTATCCTATCCTCTCCTCTCCTCTCCTCCCCTATCCTATCCTATCTACTTATCAACTTATCTATTTACCAATTTATCAGTTTATCTATCTCTGTATCTATCTGTCTATCTGTCCATCTGTCTATCTGTCCATCTGTCCACCTGTCTATCTGTCTATCTGTCTATCTGTCTATCTGTCTATCTGTCTATCTGTCTATCTGTCTATCTATCTATCTGTCTATCTGTCTATCTGTTTATCTGTCTATCTGTCTATCTGTGTATCTGTCTATCTGTCTATCTGTCTATCTATCTATCTCTCTATCTGTCTATCTGTCTATCTATCTGTCTGTCTATCTGTCTATCTGTCTATCTGTCTATCTGTCTATCTGTCTATCTATCTACCTATCTATCTATCCATCTATCTATCTATCTATCTATCTATCTCTCTATCTGTCTATCTCTCTATCTGTCTATCTGTCTATCTGTCTATCTGTCTATCTATCTATCTATCTGTCTATCTGTCTATCCGTCTATCTGTGTATCTGTCTATCTGTCTATCTGTGTATCTGTCTATCTGTCTATCTATCTATCTATCTATCTATCTGTCTATCTCTCTATCTGTCTATCTATCTATCTGTCTACCTGTCTATCGGTCTATCTGTCTATCTGTCTATCTGTCTATCTGTCTATCTGTCTACCTGTCTATCTGTCTATCTTTCTATCTGTCTATCTATCTATCTATCTATCTGTCTATCTCTCTATCTCTCTATCTGTCTATCTATCTATCTGTCTATCTGTCTATCTATCTGTCTATCTGTCTATCTGTCTATCTGTCTATCTGTCTATCTGTCTATCTGTCTATCTGTCTATTTGTCTATCTGTCTATCTGTCTATCTGTCTATCTGTCTATCTGTCTATCTAATCTATTGTCCATCTGTCTACTGCTACGTCTATCTGTCTATCTGTCTAGCGGCGAGATGGGGTAGGCTGGGAGCGCGCGATCCAGCTATCGGGCGAGCGAGAGAGCGGGCGACGGCCATCGGTAGAGTATAGCTAGAGGGCGATTGGCTATCTGGGACGTCGTGGCGAGCGGCTAGCTGGCACTCGCGCTCAGATAGAGGTGCGAGCTAGCTAGCGAGCGAGCTGGAGACAGGGCGAGCGATCGATCCAGCGAGCGGGCAGCGAGCGAGAGAGCGACGGAGCGGGGGGCGAGGAGGAGACCGAGCGAGCGAGCGTCGATCGAGCGAGGCGAGCCGGCGAGGAGCGAGCGCGAGGGGAGCGAAGAGACAGCGACAGGATTCCTCGCTTTTTCCCTATATATATATATTTATACATATACATACGGGAAAATCATCAACATAAATTTTGGATTTTCCAGCCATCTTTGATGACATCAGATTTTTGCGAGGGGAACTCACAGATCTCTTGATTCAGAGAGAGTTCGGATTTTCTGGTGGCCATTTGCTCAAGTTCTCTACGTTCAGGTTTCCACATCAGTCCACCTGGGACTGGCTCCGTGTTTCACCATGTTGCATTTTCCTTGCCGCATTTCGAAAGATTATTAGTTATAGAAAGACTCTTCATCCCACTCCTCATTCTTGTGGAAGTCGGATCCTTTTGCGAAACAAAACATCCAAAATCACCCCAAAATCACCATGTTGCAGCTCCAATCATCACCCGATCCTCAGCTCACCATGGCGTCCGAACACACCGGGCTTCTGAAGGCCGGCGCACAGCCAGGTGCAGGGACCTTTGGTGTACCTGAGGGGCTTACCACAGCAGAGGCACTGGTGCGCTTGAAGGAAGATGGAACCAATACCTTGGAGGCGCCACCCAAAGAAGGAGCGGAGCTGGTCAGAATGATTGACCCATGCATATATGGCATGTATTTATTACATATATATAATAGATAGATCGATATACTTACATATGTGGGGACGGATCAAAATCTACGAAGCACATTGTTTTAAAATCATGACCCAGCTATTTTGGGTAAACGGCAGGGCATTCCCACGTAGTTGGCCACATGGATGGTTGATCGCAGGAATTCTTCGAATTTTCGTCCGGCAGATGCAGAGTGTGATCTTTTTGTTAACATGCATTGCTGCAGTTGCGTCCTACAGCCTGGGAGACAAATACAAGGCAGCCATCTTGGTCTTCGTGGTTTTGTTCGTGATTGTATTGAACACTGTGGGAGAGTACAGCTCCCAGGACGCCGGAAACGCCCTTTGCAAGATGGCGGCACCCCAAACGGCTTGTATCCGCGATGGCCGGGAGGTCTTGATCGAAGCCGCGGCATTGGTGGTTGGAGACTGGTTGGTGCTTTCAGAATGTAAATAATGTATGGTTACCCCAAGAAAAGACAAGTTGGAACCCTGGAAAGAATGAAGAACACGTTACCTTTAACATCCTGGTTACAAACTGCTCGGCATCCTTTTTGTAGGTTATGCGGCCATACATGAATTTTTTTTTGCATCCTTGATGACGATCGCAGTGGCCTTTTTCACCGGGCATCTCCGTTTTCGCGGTTAGGAGATGTGGTGGTCGTGAAAGCTGGCGATGTGGTCCCAGCGGATATGGTGATCTTAGAGGCGATCGATTTAAAGACCAACGAGGCGGTCTTGACGGGTGAGTCCTCTGAGGTAACGAAGTCCACTGAGCCGCCTATGGATCCAACGGCACCTTTCAAATCCAATATGCTGCCTGGCGGAAGATCCATCATTTAGGGGATCTATAGGGAATACCTTTGGGTTAACATAGCCAAGCTATGGCCCATGGAAATCGATGTTTTTTTTTTTTAAATGACTTACATTAATTAAGAAGCTGATAGAAATAGAGCTTTACATGATGATTTCCATAAAAAAATGGTGATTTTCCATAAAAAACATGGTGATTTTCCATTCTTTTTGGGACCGCAACGTTCCAAGGCTCTACAGCTCCACCGAGGTCATCTCAGGCTTTGGCAAGGCGGAGGTGACGGATACCGGGATGTGCACACAGGTGGGTTTGATCGCCAAACGTCTGGGACAAAACAAGAGCATCACCGAAAAGAATCCACTGATGTCTGCGGTGAACAAGTTGGCTTCATATCTGGCATTGGTTCTGGCTCTGGTGATTGTCTGTGCTACTCTCGTAGCTTTTTGGACGGGATACCAGGATCCGCAAAAGCCTTGTGCTGAGAAAGACGAAGTTTGCTTCTTGAAGACAGCCGTTCTTCGTGCAGTTGTCATGTCAGTTGCTCTGATTCCTCATGGTCTTCCCTTCATTTGTACCGTGATGCTGTATGTCACTGGTCGGTGCTTTCACAGTTTCATTTTTATGTTCCATCTTATTAAACCGCAGAAATCCTGGTTTCATAGGAGATCTACACACATCTGGACCTTAAAATTGGGTGTTTAATATCATCCCACACTCCGTAGGGATTTGCCAATACCAATGGCATCCTCTTTGGGGGACGCACATCCATTTGGACTAGGCTCTGATGCAAATGGTTCAAATGGTCAAAAAACGAGCCAAAAACCAGCGTTTTGGCTCCATTTTTTTTGATGATGAAACATCCACTGGATTGGACACCCCGATTTGAAGACTGGGAAGACCCATGGTTTCCTGCTGATCGCAAGTTACTTGATCCACTATTCTCAAGATCTGCGGCTCGACAAAGAGGATACTGTAACATACTGTACCCAGCAAACTTATGGTGTTTCACCAAACTTTCCCATGGTTTCCAAAAAATCACCCATGTTTTACCAGGATTTTTTGGACACAACACAGTTCTTTTCCACATGAAAATCCGGGTCGGGGTCCAACGAGGGGTCTCCGGATCTCCAATCCCAGGTGGGATCTGTGGGCATTTCCAAAAGCAATGGCCTGGTGATGAAGGTCTCGGCCGTGGATTACCTGGCGGCCACCACGGTGATCTGTACCGACAAGACGGGGACACTGACGGAGGCCTTGGTGGGCCATGGTGGGTGATGGGCCATGGTGGGTGGTGGGCCACGGGTTGATGGGTTCATGGTTAAAATGCTTGGCGAATGGGTTTTCTGAGAGTTAATTACTACAGTTTTGCGATTGAGTGAATTTATCACTTGGCTAGCTGTATGAATTTAACTGTTGAAATTGTTGGTTTATGGTAGGTTTATATCTCAAGGATAGTATGTATGTTAGTACAGTATACTATATTAAAAAACTCATTATGGGGAACAAGGCTATAGTATTCATGGGTTTATAAACCAACAAACATTGCTAGAGGGTCACCCCCTTGTGGGTCATCTGTCACAGATTTACCATGATATGTCATGATTGACAAACATGGTGATTTTCCATATCGATGTTAAGGTACTAGAGGGTGTATTATATGTATGTATATAATGTATATGATGTGTATATCTATAAGATAGATCAAGTCTATTTATTGTTATTTTAAAGTGTTTGTTTTGATGTTGATACCCCAAACATGGCCATGAACAAGAAAGGGACAACTCGAGAACTTCGAACCTTTTTGTTGCCTTCATCTGGGTACCAGACTTTACCTGTCAGAGATGACCGCTCAAATATTTCCACAGCTTCAAGTGATTGATTGTTGACAAACGTTGGGAGGTGTTTGATCATCCCCAAGTTGGACAACAACATCTATCCATGATTCATTGGTGAACTCCCTGTTTTCTGAAAAAACATCCCGATCGATGATTGGTTGATCTTCCAACATCTTCCAATATATGAACTTGTTCTTTTCCCCACGATATTCCCATTTTTTTTAGCCATTCTTATCCCCAACCCTGGGGTTTCCCCACTTGGGTGTTCGTGATATCCCGTGATCCAGGGCCGCATGTCTGCGAGCCTGGTCCTGGGCTTCTGCCAAGATGAAGCCACAAGGGCCACAGGGAGCTCAGCAAGGGAGTCGTCCTTGTCGTTCTATCCCTTGAAGCTGGGCTTGGTAAGTGTAGCAGCTGAAGCAGCTGAAGCAGCTGAAAAAAAACAACCCCTGGATTTCATAGATGTGGAACATCAACCATTTGTAGCCTTTTTTTTTCTGGGGTTTTACAATTATGGATATTTCCTGGTTTTCCACGTCCATGTAAACGTTTACCGGGTAAGTATTCAAAGATGTGGGACCGTATCTATATATATACACACATATAGTTGATAAATGAAGGTTGGTTGATTATTGGGTTGATCAAAATGGGAATGTTTTTTGGATGTTGTTTTTTTTCACCATCAAACAGAAATTGGGAATATCATGGAGTATAGTTGAGACATACGTTCAGTATCTCTAAATAATGGTTGGTTGATGAAGTTGATGAGTAGTTCTGGTTGTTTTTCACACCAATAGACTTGGGATCATCATCCGTGAGCGGGCAATCCGTTTTTTTTTTTTTAACCTCCATTAGAGGCTTGGAAACGTTGCAATGCCGAACTTGGGGCAGATGGTCATGAGGCATCAACTGTTGTAATCCCTACCTTTCAGTTTTATTTAAAAACAAAACAACTTAGATGTATCACTTAAGGCGTGGAACATGGGAATTGTTGGGATTTGACCATCAAAACTGGCGGTAAAGAAAGACCATAAGTTTAAAGACCAATATAGACATGTGTGAATGACAGGTGTGAAAAGATCTGCAAGAAGCATATACGTATTTATTGCAGAGGTATGATTATGTTGTATGCTGTAATCCTGAACTTACGGCAACTGAAAGATAGACAACTTCGAGGATATATCACTATTTGAGTGGGAATCGACTTCTTCTTGGAGGTTGCGGGGTTACCATCAAGACTGGGTGTGGAACATGGGACTTGTTGGAAATGTGGTAAACCCAGCAACTAACCGTCCCCAATATCACCCGAAATGAGTTTATTGCTGTATTGGGTTGCCCTTATTGAGTAACCTGTAACCTGTAACCTGTAACCTGTAACCTGTAAACCTGTAACCTGTAACCTGTAACCTGTAACCTGTAACCTGTAACCTGTAACCTGTAACCTGTAACCTGTAACCTGTAACCTGTAACCTGTAACCTGTAAACCTGTAAACCTGTAAACCTGTAAACCTGTAAACCTGTAACCTGTAACCTGTAACCTGTAACCTGTAACCTGTAACCTGTAACCTGCAACCTGTAACCTGTAACCTGTAACCTGTAACCTGTAACCTGTAACCTGTAACCTGTAACCTGTAAACCTGTAAACCTGTAAACCTGTAAACCTGTAAACCTGTAACCTGTAACCTGTAACCTGTAACCTGTAACCTGTAACCTGTAACCTGTAACCTGTAACCTGTAACCTGTAACCTGTAACCTGTAACCTGTAAACCTGTAAACCTGTAAACCTGTAAACCTGTAAACCTGTAAACCTGTAAACCTGTAAACCTGTAAACCTGTAACCCTGTAACCCTGTAACCCTGTAACCCTGTAACCTGTAACCTGTAACCTGTAACCTGTAACCTGTAACCTGTAACCTGTAACCTGTAACCTGTAACCTGTAACCTGTAACCTGTAACCTGTAACCTGTAACCTGTAACCTGTAAACCTGTAAACCTGTAAACCTGTAAACCTGTAAACCTGTAAACCTGTAAACCTGTAAACCTGTAAACCTGTAAACCTGTAAACCTGTAAACCTGTAAACCTGTAAACCTGTAAACCTGTAAACCTGTAAACCTGTAAACCTGTAAACCTGTAACCCTGTAACCCTGTAACCCTGTAACCTGTAACCCTGTAACCCCTGTAACCTGTAACCCTGTAACCCTGTAACCCTGTAACCCTGTAACCCTGTAACCCTGTAACCTGTAACCCTGTAACCTGTAACCCTTAACCTGTAACCCTTAACCTGTAACCCGTAACCTGTAACCTGTAACCTGTAACCTGTAACCTGTAACCTGTAACCTGTAACCTGTAACCTGTAAACCTGTAACCTGTAACCTGTAACCTGTAACCTGTGTAACCTGTAACCTGTAACCTGTAACCTGTAACCTGTAAAACCTGTAAATGTAAACCTGTAGTTGGTTGTAAAATGCCTGTAATGTATGTTGTTCCTGTTGTAGCCTCCTGTAAGTGCACTGCGGGAGGGTACCCCCAGCACTGACGTCAAGAGGTGAGGACGTAAACCCCAAAAGGCTTTTCCAAGAAGCCTGGGCGTCCAGTGTTGAATTTGACTGGTGGTGCCTTGAAAAGAGTGCCTCAGTCCGGTGCTTTGCCATTTGTTTTCTCATGGCCTCTACCGGCAGTCCACCAGCATCTGGTCCTGAAAGCAATGTTGCTTCAGACGGCAGTCGTGTGCAACGCAGACAACTGCTAGTACCAGCTTCTCAAAGAGAGAATTCTAGAACACCCAGAAGGAATACTTCAGGTGATGAGGATGAACGACCTGAGTTGCCGGATGTACCTATGACTTCCCACGATGCTCTGCGCGATTTAGTGGCCAAAGAACTAGGGAAGTTTCTTCCGACTCACATCACAAAGTGCATCCACAAGCAATCTCAAGATCTTCGAAGTCGCATTCAAGCTTTGCAAAAGACAAATGAGAGGAAAAAGAAGTTAGAAGCCGAAATCACTACCATGCGAGCTGGCCAGCTTCCTCCTACTGTGAGGAAGGTTTCTCATTCATTTGAAACAGTGCTGTTGGATTCTCCTGCAGTACAAGACGGCTTGTCGTGGCAACTTTCCCCTGGTGACACCATTCGAGTCGCAAAAGAGAAGTGCCATTTGGCGCACCATTTAGCGCAAAAACAGTTGGATCTCCAGCTTGTTGACCTGCACCGCAACAACCTCAAACAGTATGTGAAGCGATCAAATTTTGTTTCCCGCTGTTCTGAACATTTCCAGAACCGTGAAGCTCCGTTAAAGACTTCTTGCTCAGTCTTGGACATCGATGACGACGACGATGACCACACTGCATTGACACATGAACTTGGCATGACTGAATTGGAGTTTCAAAGCATGGTTGTTTCCCTTTACAAGAGGATTGTCGACAACGAGGCTGCAAAGGTGCTTTTGGACAAAGCGAGTGGTGATAAGAAGCAGGAACAAAAGAAAAGGTTTTGGAGCAGGTTGCCAACAAAAGCCCTCAGGAGTTCTTGAATGAAACCATTGATGAGCGTCTCAAATTGTTGACCTCAAAGAAGGGCAAGGGCAAAAACAAGCAGACTCCTTCTACTTCCGCCCAGTTGGCAGTTGCCGCAATTCAATCCCAGACTGGAAAGATTTCTCCAGACCAAGCTGGTGCCATTTTGACCACCAACCACACTTTGCCACCAAACCCCAAGCCCAGCCCCGCAGCAAAAAGTGCCCCACAAAACAAAGGCAAGGGCAAGGGCAAAAACAAGGGCAAGACAACAACTACTTCCACCTCGCCCAGCAAGGGCGGCAAAGGCAAGAGCAAGAGCAAGGGCAAGACTGCAGCTAGCAGCCCCGGCAAAGGAAATGGCAGTGGAAGCAAAGGCAAAAGCAAATCAAAAAACGACAACGCCCCTTGGGGGAAGGGGGGCGGTGGTCAGAAAGGCAAGGGCATTGGTGGCAAGCCAAGCTTGAGCGGATGGCCCATTGGAAGGTGGGTCAGAAATCGGCAATGAAACACAGAAAGCTGCTACGCTGGTTTTGGAACATGGTGGAAGGTATGCCTTTGGGAGATTTCTTTCGCCTTTTATCTTGTGGATGCAATGTCCCAGACATCATGTTCTTTGACCATATCACACGTAGTGCTCAACAATTTGCTCCTATGGCGCTTCCCTGGCCTCTAGAATACCTATTGGCCCACCATAGCCACAAGCACGTGTTTGGCGGTTCTCGGTTGCCTTCCTTAGGAACAATTGGTTCTGCTTTACAATCATGGGAACACAAGCTTCGCTGGCAGCTAGTTCTTGGTGCGCAATCGCGATCACCATGGTCGTTTTTGCATTCCAAGAAGCCTTATACAACACCATGTGAAGCCGTGCTCCCTGCTTGTGTTGAATTTTTCCAAGAAGCAAAACGTGCTTTTTACAGTGAAGTTCTGCGGATTCGTCATCGTGCTTGCAAGATGCGCAAACAATTTTCAAATCAATTTGGTATCATTCGTTGTGCTTTTGATTTTCTGACATATGGTCCATACCTGGCATTGAAGACCGACAAAGATGGTGGTTTCTGCCTCGTTTTGAAAACAGTTTTAGCTGACGAAGCTCGGTTCATTCTCCAATCTGATTCTCGATATTCTGCAGTTACGACCGACGCCGGATTTGCTGGTGCCCTGTTGGAAGAATTCCGTGATGCAGTCTTTTCTGCAGCCAGTTTCGCCCCAATACCAGAGGATGAAAAGCGAAGCTTCATTGGTTCAGTCCTGCAGCCTGCCCGGGTTCACAAATCAGCAAACATTTTTGCTTGTCTGAAGTACACAGTAAAGACGCACAAGCCGGATGGCCAAGTGTCTTTCCGAGCCCTACACTCGAGTGTTAACACCCCACTGCAAGGTGCCATGAAGTTCATTTCCTTCCTGTTGAAACCACAACTTCGAGCTCTCCCGCACCTTCTGTCCAGCAGCGCGGAAGTAGCTCGGAAACTTTCTGCGTTGCGAGTTGGTCCCGATGCACATTTGTTGAAGATCGATATAAAAGATTTTTTCATGGATGGCAGTCAGTCTGAAATAGCTGCAGCTTGTATTTCTATGGTTGATCCTGCTTGGCAATCCACTTTCCGTTACCTGATCGAGTATATCTTGGACACTCAGTATGTTGTCACGCCTTGCTTCCCTGATAAGGTTTACAAGGTACGACGTGGTGCTGGCATGGGTCTGCTTTGTTCTGGCGAGTTGTGCGACTCCACATTTTACAAAACGGTTGAAGAACAAATTTTAGGAAATCTGGACCGATGGGGTGTCATTGGATATTTCCGCTTTCGTGATGACATCCTGGTTATCATTGACAGCCCATATACAACAAGGTTGGATTTCGTTTATTCTTTGAAAGCAAAAAGCACAGTGTGGCAACTGAAGGTCGAGACAGCGTCAAGGTCAGAAGTTTGTTTTTTGGACATGCGAATTTTCAAAGGTGAGCGGTGGCATGCAACAAAGTGTTTGGACGTGACCATTTATCACAAGGAAACAGCTCAAAAACAAATTCTGGCAACACACAGCTTGCACCCTCCACACACACATTTGTCTTGGCCGAGATCTTTGGTACATCGCATTTTTACTCTTTGCAATACCCGGACATATCAATTTGAGGAGTTATCCCGCCTTAAACGCATGCTTGCTGACAGATGTGGGATGGAACATGTCTTGCTTGTTTTCGATCCACCTTTGCGGCGTGCGCCCAAGCTAGCTTGTCATGACAGCAGAAGAGTTGCTTCCAGGCTCATCATTCCCTACCACCGGGAGTGGGAGATTGGATCCATTCACTCAACTTTGCAGCGGATTTTGTCCCGCTACTCTGAAACGTTGCACCAGGAGTTCAACGCAAGTGTGACAATTTCTATTGCGCACACTCTGCAGCAGAGACATTTGGACATTCAATTGTGGAATTTATGGCTGCAAGATCATGGACGGCGGTTGGGGACGGAGGTGGATTAACCTGTAAACTGTTTGCACCTAGAGGGTGAATGAATCAATTTGTGATTTGAGATTTGAAGTTCCAATGCGAGATTGATATTTCCGCAGCACTGACGTCAAGAGGTGAGGACGTAAACCCCAAAAGGCTTTTCCAAGAAGCCTGGGCGTCCAGTGTTGAATTTGACTGGTGGTGCCTTGAAAAGAGTGCCTCAGTCCGGTGCGGTCCATTAGAGGCTTGGAAAAGTTGTAATGCCGAACTTGGGGCAGATGGTCATGAGGCATCAACTGTTGTAATCCCTACCTTTCAGTTTTCTTTAAAAACAAAACAACTTAGATGTATCACTTAAGGCGTGGAACATGGGAATTGTTGGGATTTGACCATCAAAACTGGCGGTAAAGAAAGACCATAAGTTTAAAGACCAATATAGACATGTGTGAATGACAGGTGCGAAAAGATCTACAAGAAGCATATACGTATTTATAGCAGAGGTATGATTATGTTGTATGCTGTAATCCTGAACTTACAGCAACTGAAAGATAGACAACTTGGAGGATATATCACTATTTGAGTGGGAATCGACTTCTTCTTGGAGGTTGCGGGGTTACCATCAAGACTGGGTGTGGAACATGGGACTTGTTGGAAATGTGGTAAACCCAGCAACTAACCGTCCCCAATATCACCAGAAATGAGTTTATTGCTGTATTGGGTTGCCCTTATTGATGGAAAATGCTGTTGTGTTCGAACATCTATGAGAATCACATACGTACACAAACACATACATATATACACATACTCATGAATGTACTATACCATATCTATGATTATACATATATATACATATATATATATATATATTCATACATATCATTTAGATGTCTGTATACATACCTATATCCGTATTTTTTTCCTCCTTGTTCGCAATGAATTTTCAGGGAGGGTCTCTCGCCCAATGGCGGCATCTTCTCCAGCAGTGAAGTCACCCAGAAGCACAAGGAGCAGATGGAGAAGGACTTTGAAGCCACCAGCCATCGGCAAAACTTTTCTCAGCCCGGCCTCAGGCGTCAACAGATTGATTTGAGACAGAGACAGGGAAAGCTAGAATTCATTAAACATCAAATAGAAGAGTGATGGTGTTTTTTTTGAACCTTGTTACTTTTTTGTTCTTCGGTTTTTTCTTTGGGGATCCATGTAATCACACAGTGGTAAAGCCACTTTTTTGGGGTGCGTGCACTGATGCGTTGACTATAATCACTCTTGAAGTTCCCTTAAATATGAACATGTCATGTTTTCATCCGAAGATGTCCCGGAACTCTTCACCCTTCAGGGATCTGGGCGTTTTCACCGAGCATTCAGAGGCCATGAAGGAGGGGAGTCTGGATGCCTTGCTGGCTGGGATCCATATGGCCATAGCCTTCTTGGCGTGTCATGGGGCTACCTTGGTGAAAACTGAGTCCTGGGAGGCCAAGGGAAACCCCACGGAGGTGGCAGTGAAGGTGGCTGCGGCCAAGGCAGGTTTCTGGGAGGAACATGGTGCCGATGGCCGTGATGGCCGGCTACCGCCTGTTGACTCCTTGCGAGGCATGTATCCGCGGCAGGAGGGGTTGGAAATACCCTTCAATAATGTGAGGAAGATGGCTGCCAGCATCCATGAGATCCCGCAAAATGTGAATTTCACTTCTGAACTCGCGACATCCCTGAAATTTCCAGAGGATGCTACACATTTTGCCATTTTGAAAGGTGCACCTGAAAAGATTTGCGAAGCCGTGGGTGCTATGCCCCTGCTGAGGGAGGGTACATTGGAGCTCCCGGGGCGTGAGTTGGTGGAAGCCGATCAGGTCTTGTTGAAGCAGCGCAACATGGATCTGGCACAGCAAGCCCTGAGGAGTTTGTTGGTGGCCGTGAGACCCCTGAGCTCCGCGGAGATCGAAAAATTGAGGTCCTCCTCCTCTGCGGATGATCGCCTGGCCGTGGTGTTGAAAACGCCCAAGATGCTGTGCCCCCTGAGCCTGTGGGGCATCTATGATCCACCTAGGGCCTCAGTGCCTGGAAGCATCGAAAAATGTCGGAAAGCTGGGATTCAGGTGAAGATGATTACGGGAGATCAGCAAGCAACAGCTGCGGCCATTGGAGCGCAGATTGGAATTTTGGATGAAAGCTGTGGGGGATCAGCAAGCACCATCCTTTGTGAGAAACTTCATGAGAGCAGCGGCCGGGAAAGCGCGAAATCTCTCCGGAGGATTTCGAGGAGAGCATCCGAGATACTGCGACAGACACAGGAACTTGGGAGTCAGGAAATCTCTTAGCAAAAGCGAATTTTCAAAGCAGCAATAGATTGGATAAATATCACTAGACTGTGGTATCGGGATGCAGAATGAACCATCATCCACACAGAGTTTCCAGAAATTTTCCTGCACCCTAGGAAGCTGCGAAAGGTGGCAAGAAGTCTCAATCTTCGCTCCATCCAGGGGAAGCAGGGCGGGGAAGCCGTCGGCTCTCCGTTCACGACAAGCGTGGACCTGCCGATTTCCACGAGCCCGAATTTCGGTCCGAGGAGGACTGCCCAGTGTGTCCGGGTGGTGTTTGAGAATGGGTAACAAATGGATGGGGGTACCCCAAATTGGATGGTTTATAAAAGAAATCCTATTAAAATGGATGATAACTACGGGTACCCCTATTTCAGGAAAGCTCCTAATATAAATTCCACACATGACCTCACATCCAGTATCATTGGCACTCTGGATCTCTATTTCATCTCGTGTCATGTCATCTCATTCTTTTTCTCAGATCGGCGGTTTCATCCAAACACCTCTGAGGATTGATGATAAGCATATCATGGTACATAATCCCTTCCCCCTAATCCCCTATTGATTAATGTTAAATACCTTCAGTCATGAACTGCGGTCCCAGTCGTGGAGATATTTTATGTTGGGGACCGGGAGACTGGATTGACTGGATTGTGTATTATCGCCACTAATTGCATCGTCTATTCGCTACTGGGATATCATTAGATATGATACCAGTAGTACCACACAAGGCGGTGGCGGAAGTTTCAAAAATAGGAAACCTATAGGAGAGATTGGTTGTTGTGAATCAGGGATGGCAGAGCGAATCCACTGATGGACCGAAAGGTGCTTGAGGTCTCCTCTCTTTCTCTCTCTTTCTCTGACTATCTACTTACCTACCAACCTATCTTCTATGTATCTATCTATCTATCGATCTATCTATCTCTCTCTTTCTCTCTTTCATCTAATTACCTTTCTACCTATCTACCTATCTATCTATCTCTCTCTCTTTCATCTGTCTATCTGTCTAGCTGTCTACCTCTCTATCTACCTATCTTTCTATCTATCTGTCTATCTGTCTATCTGTCTACCTGTGGTGCAGTGTCATTCAGTGTAATGTAGTGTAGTGTAGTGTAGCGTAGTGTAGTGGAGTGTAGTGGAATGTAGTGTAGTGTAGTGTAGTGTAATTTAATGTAGTGGAGTGTAGCGGAGTGTATTGTAGTGGAGTGTAGTTGTGTAGTTGTAGTTGTAGTTGTAGTGTAGTGGAGCGTAGTGTAGTGTAATGTAGTGAAGTGTAGTGGAAGATAGTGTAGTGTAGTGTAATGAAGTGTAGTGTAGTGTAGTGGAGTGTAGTGTAGTGTAATGTAGTGTAGTGTAGTGTAATTTATTGTAGTGGAGTGTAGTTGGGTGTATTGTAGTGGAGTGTAGTTGTGTAGTTGTAGTTGTAGTTGTAGTTGTAGTGTAGTGGAGTGTAGTGTAGTGTAATGCAGTGAAGTGTAGTGGAAGGTAGTGTAGTGTAGCGTAATGAAGTGTAGTGTAGTGGAGTGTAGTGTAATGTAGTGTAGTGTAGTGTAATTTAGTGTTTTGGAGTGTAGTGGAGTGTAGTGGAGTGTAGTGGAGTGTAGTTGTGTAGTTGTAGTTGTAGTGTTGTGTAATGTAGTGTAGTGTAGTGGAGAGTAGGGTAGTGGAGTGTAGTGTAATGTAGTGTAGTGTAGTGAAGCGACATCTGAACCTCCAAAAGTGGTCCGAACCCCTAGTGTTTTTAACATTTTGACTTGGAAATGTGCTTCGCGCCACAACGGTGTGCACTTTTTCGACATCTGAACTTCCAAAAGTAGCGCGAACATGTAGTGTTTTGTACATTTTGACTTCGAAATGTGCTTTGCGCCACAACGGCGTGCACTTTTTCGACATCTCAACTTCCAAAAGTGCTCCGAGAATGGTGTGTTTTGTACATTTTGACTTCGAAATGTGCTTCGCGCCACAACGGCGTGCACTTTTTCGACATCTGAACTTCCAAAAGTGGTCCGAACCCCTAGTGTTTTTAACATTTTGACTTCGAAATGTGCTTCGCGCCACAACGGCGCGCACTTTTTCGACATCTGAACTTCCAAAAGTGGTCCGACCATGGTGTGTTTTGTACATTTTGACTTCGAAACAACTGCGTGCAATTTTTCATCTCTCCTCTGGCCAGCTGGCTCCGCACCCGCCGCTTTAGCGAGCCTACTTTTCGACCCTCCGGAGCCCCAAATCATTGGGAAAAACAGAGTTTCGTGACTTTCCTACCTTTTCACGCATCTGCATCTTCTTTCTTCTTATACTCTTTCTCTTCTACTCTTCTTTCTTCTAATATTTCTCTTCTGCCTCTTCCCTGCTCTGCTTTTCATCTGTCCATATTGTCGGAAGTTTGACTTCTAAACTTCCTTCGATTATTTGTAATCTTCATATCATCTGGGATATTCATATATCATCATGATACATATCCCAGATTGAATATCCCAGATATCATGATAAATATCCCAGAAAACAATATATTACCCATGATTGGCATATCATCATGATAAATGGTGGCAATGTACATAACTATGGAAAACCATCATTTTCAATAGGTATTTATGAACTATAAATGGCCATATTTTTGAAGCTATGTAACAAATGACCAGAGGGTACCAATCATATCCCCAAAAGGGCTGGTGGCAACCCAAAGCCCAAGGAGCTGCATGAACTCATTGGCAAGGTGCGTTGCTTCGCCCGGGCCTTGCCATCGGATAAGGTGCCGTGGGATCCAGAAAAAGGTCTAGGAGTCGAGGATTCCCATATTTTTTTTGGGGATTTGGGTGAGATGAAAAAATCGGCAGGCTAGAATTTTAGAATCTTCAAAAGATGGTGAACACATAGCCTCTGGTAAACATACAAAAAACTATTGAAAATGGCCCAGTCGAAATAGTTGATTTACCCATTAAAAATTGTTATTTTCCATAGTTATGTTGAGTTTTCCCATTAAAAATGGTTATTTTCCATAGTTATGTTGAGTTTTCCCATTAAAAATGGTTATTCTCCATAGTTACGTAAACGTTTACCAGGCCGGGTAGGCAGCAAAACCAGGCCACCTCCTGAGGTGGCCATTGTGGCCTCGCTGATGTCCAGCGGCGAGGTGGTGGCCATGACGGGAGATGGCGTCAATGATGCGCCGGCGCTGAAGAGCGCCAATGTGGCTGGGGATGGTGGTTACCCTCTGGTAAACGTTTACAAAAAACTATGGAAAATCACAATTTTTAATGGGTAAATTAACTATTTCTATGGCCATTTTCAATAGCTATGTTAGTTTACCAGAGGGTAGTGGTGATGTTATGGTGACTTTATGGTGCTCCTTTTTTTTGATTCGGATGGTGATTTTTTTAAGGAATCATCCAACTTTTGATCATTTTTTGTCTCATGAATATCCCATGAATATCCGATCACAATCTGTTGATTCACCCATAATCCCCTGGTATTGACTAGTTTGCCAACCGGAGAATCACCATAAACAACCGCCATGGCTAAAAAAGGTCGCAGGTCGTCTGACAGATTACTGGAGAGATCTGGTGATTTGATCGGGATTTCATATGGAAATCAGGATCAGAAGATGGTCATTGAGTCATTACCCTCTGGTAAATTGACATTATTTGGACCCTGAAAATGCCACTCATTTTGAGTGCTTTAACTCATCTTCATTAATCTTCCAAGCCTGATTTTTTTGTTTTTTTGAATGGCAGGGTCTATGTTGATTTACTGGCACTGACCGTGTTTGGACTATTCTGCTAGGATGAACCACAAACGCCAGGATTCGCGACAGGTAAATCATCTGTGAACAGGCCACTTTCTACAGCGATGTTGGACTACCAGATCTGATGGTATCCATAGAAATGGGAATGAGTTAAAACCTTGCCCAAGATTTCGGAGCGATGAACAAGATTTCACCAGGTATTTTGCTGTCAACAGAAACCACGGGAGATGGGGATAGAATCAACCGATCGGAGAAGAATGGGTGAATTAACAATGAAACAAGGGGACCTAATCAGGCAAAGTGGGAATGATTTTTTTTTAATCGTCAAAAAACATATTTTTTTTTCCAACAACCATGGGACAACATGGGAAGTATCGCCACTGAACGTGGGAACATAGCCTTCATGACTCGATCTAGACTTCGGTAACTAGAACTGGGAACGTGCAATTCAAACGGATCTGGTGGGTGGTGTATTTGATCAATTGAAATATGGGAACTTGACCACAGCGAAACAAGTATGTCATGGGAATACAAGTGCATTTTAGGGAATAACATGGGTATACAAGAGAATTGACAATGCAAATGCAATTTGGAAGATAAGTTTGGACTTGGATAACCCAGCCATAGATATAGATATATACATTGTTTTTTTTCATTTCAATCAGATTGCTAGCCTTAATGGAGGAGCTGTTTTGAGGTTTTCTTTGAGGGTAAATATCCCTGCTAAATGGGGACACAATTCAGAACCCAATTCCCCTGAATATCACTTTAGTGGTATATAGATAAATGTGGTATGATAATCGAAAAACAAGAGAATGGTAGGTACGCCAAAGCAATCTGTTTGGACTCTCTCTCTCTCTCTATATATATATATTTATTTTATTTGTACGTGTGACATGTTTTGCGATTTCCATCTTTTTAAACATATGGGAGGGGATGGGGCCCAACATGAGACTTCCAAACTTGCCCTCTGGTAATCAAACCTGGAACTAGAAACTCCCAGTGCTATCCATTTCTACATAGAGGAATTCTTTTACCAAAAGCAGATATTTGAGTTGCTATGGTTTTTTCCCTTAAGGCATCACGAATGCTTTACTATCAATTTATTCAGCATTAGGCAATTTTTTAACATGTATAGTACGGCTAACCACATGATATGGCCTTAAAAAAATGGTATGTAAAATAAAAAAACCATGGTTATGCCCTAATGGAACTATCTATTCTACCAGGATTCTACCAGTATGGTTCCATTTTTCATAGAATTGGATGATGGGAAAATTTACAGGAAAGCCCTATATTTGATGGTAAAAACCCATGGGTTTCCTGTAGATTTTCCCGAAAAAACCAATCCATTGAATTTTTTATCGCCAGGTGGGTGTGGCAATGGGCATCACCGGTACAGCCGTGACCCAAAACGCCAGCGACTTGATCCTCATGGACGACAACTTCTCCACCATCGTGTTGGCAGTGGAGGAAGGTCGACGTATCTTTGGAAATGTGCAGAAGTATGTCACTGTATCTCGGAGATTATGCCATAATCATGGTGATTTGATGATTCTGGTGATTAAAAATGGCTGAGTATGGTGATTTGATGGCTGATTGTAGTGATTTTGATGATTATGGCAGGTGATAGTGATTTTATGGCCGATGATTTTTTTGAAGCAATGTTTATAGACCACTATGCCCTTTATGTAACGAGACATGTATATAAATATTTATGTATCTAAAGTTAATTTTCATGTGAACTTCTGGGTTGACCGGTTTCCACGGTGAACTAAAAAAAGGCAGGCATCACCATGATCACCTTGTCATTTCATCCCTGCTGTGTCCCCATCGAGGCATCTTTGAGTCTGAAGTTTGGTGAGATGTTGAGTTTGATGGTTGCCATTGTCCTTGGCATCGTGACCCCATTGAAGCCCACCGTCCAGTTGTTAAACCTCTTCCTGACGCACGTGCTTTGCACCTGGTCCTTCGCATTCGAAGAAGCGGAGGATTACATCATGACCATCCCACCTCGGAATGTGAAGAAGGACTTGGATGGGGGATATCCGGAAAGTCTGGAAACAGTATGGAAAGGTGGGATGGGGCGGACGTCCCGGACGGATGTCTGAAACATGGCTACTGACCAACAGACACATGAACCGATTCAACCACCATATTTATCACTTAGTCTGATTGAAACAACACTTCCCATAGCAAGCGGACTTCAAACTCCACCCGAATAATTGCTCGATGGAGACTACCTAGATTACCACTCAGTGCAGCGGTGTTGAAATTTGACGTTTCGCAAAAGTGAAGGATTTGGTCCTGAATCGAACTTTGGTGCTTTATCGTTGGCTTCCCTTTGTGCTCTACTTTCCCATCATCGTGTATTCCTCCTTATGCTTCGGTACCATCGGCACAGTTGGCTCTGTGAGCAATACCAAGCTGCTGGGAAGCAGTCTACATATTGACCTGGAGAACGGCCGGAGCCTGTGCGAACATGCTGGATGGCAAACCGAAGATGGCTACAAGTTTCTGGACGTTTTTTCAAGACGGGTCAAACCTTACATGCCTGGTCATCAAACCCAGTTTGATGATTTTCCTCTGAAATCATTGTCCATGTAGATCAGATTTTCCATTGTCCTGTTTGATTCTTGGAGGGTAAAAAAAAATAAGTGTCGTTTTTTTTCCTGAATAAATGGGACTTCACTAGCAGCAAGCAATGGGACATGAGGGATGTGAAAAACATCTGATTTTCCATCACCAGATATGATTTATAGATGATCTCTATTGACAGAATCTTCATTTTTTGGTGCTGAGTGGCCTCACTGAGGCTGGATCCAAGGCCGTTCCATTGTCAATGCCAGGTGCATGAGAAGGGCAACCCTTGGCTTCCGGCGAGCACCTTTGATCAGTGGGGCACCAGCCAGCAGTTCACCGTGGATGGGGATTTCCAACCGTTGCTGCATTCGAAGCTCTTCGCCAGGAGTAGCTTTAGCCAGGGGCTGATTGCCCCCTGCAGTCAACCGGAGCACAAGGAGAAATGGTGTTGGGCAGAACATGTCAATGTGATGACATCTGCCAGGCCCATACTTCCAGAGGGAGCCAGCTGTGTTGAATATGGTGTCAAGGTGGGACAAAGCATGTCCTTGGTCACCATCATGCTGGGTGAAGTGTTGTCCCTGCTGAGCTTCCGAAGAGACAGAAGCCTGTCGTGGGCGCTCTTTCGGAATCCCTTCTACAACTTGTCCTTTGTCATGAACATTTGCATGATGCTTTTCCTGGTCTACGGCAGGCAAATCCGCAAAGGGTCTGGAGTCTCTGGAGTCGGAGTCCCAAATGGCTGTCGATGTTTTGGGAACTTCTAACCGCAACGACGACCGACCCAGAAAAACTGTTGGATTTTCTCGGGTCCAAAAGATAGGACAGCTCTATTGACTCTATTGGATCTTTTAGGATTTTTTGTTCATCATTTGTTCATCATTTCTCAGATTCCAACTGTAGTCCTGGACTCCCACTGGGGAGGCTTTCCTCTGCCCTGGACTTGGTGCCCTTGAGCCCCCTGCAATTCCTGGTGGCTGTGACCTTGGCCTTGACCATGCTACTGCTAAACGAAGTGGCTAAGATTTTCTATCGATGGCAGTTGAACCGTGATCATGAAGCCGTTCGACAGGTCAAGTGAAGCCATGGAAACCATGGTGATAAAGCCATTTGAAAGATGGGGAATCTCTGATGTTCATTGATATTTGATGGTTTCATGGGACATCTCTTATTTCGATATGCAAAAAAAAATTAATGGAAAATTCACCCCGAAAGAAGTAGATTGATGGAATTCCCACAAACTGTCTGTATCTTTCTTTTGGGGAAGGGACCTTCGTTGCACCCGAGCACGTTGCACCTCAAGAAGCCCCTTTCTTTATGGCAGAATCCGGCGAAACCAGCGGGTGTTTGGACGAAACAGGTTCAAACATTCCAGTCAAACTGAACATTTGCTGGCAAAAAATGATTCCGTGGTGTCTGGCCGGGGGTTATTCGGGGAGCTGTAAAACTGCTGCTAAGCCGCTAAGCTATGCCCAATTCCAGGATCTTTGCAACCAAGAAATGGGGCAAAAATAGGATAGCCCCAAAACCAGTGCTTTAGCATCACCAATTAACAACCAACTGTCATTTTGGGGTATACTTCATTTCTGGGCAAAGCCATTTGACTGGTCAGATTGACTAAGCACTATGGGCATCAGCTATGGTTGAGATATGAATGGGGAGATTGTCAAAGCAAAACGGGAAGATGGGCCCCGGGCCCCGGATTTGATTTTTATCATCATGTTCACCATTAAAACATATAAACCTGCAGGTTTTGGGATATAACATGATATAACCCCCCCCCATTTTCCCCAATTCTTTGAGCCAGTCTTGGGTTGAAATAGTTGAAATGGCCCATGTCAATGGACGTCAACCCGGCGCTTGAACTGCTGCTTGGCTCCCAGAAGTCCCACCGGGATCCACAAGAAACTTGCGAGCTGAGAGCCGAGTGTTTCGGTTGCTCGACCTGAGATGTTGCGGACTCCGCTGGTTGGAAAACCTGGATTTTGAGCAGAAATGTGGAGGGTTTTTTTGGAAACAAAAAAACACCATCATGTGGAATTTAGTTGGTATATGCACAGAATAGAAGGGAAAGACATGATATGACTTTGTCTATCATGGTGAATTTGCTCCCCATCTATGTCCATTTGAATGGTGAAATGACGATCAACCATGAGATTCTGGGGTAGACTATCTTCAGATAAAGCCATGGTTTTGTGCTCTCAGGAACTCAATCATAAATACCACTGACCGCTGAAGAAGTCCTGGCTTTCTGACTATCTCCATGTTACGGGATGGTTGCAGCAGGGCCCAGGGTTTGCAACGGCCACAAGGCTGCAGCTGCACACGACCTACTTTAATCACGCCTTTCCACGCCGACATCGTTCACGGGATGGTGCGGAGGGGAATCTGGGTGCACTTTGTGGCGAAGCTGTGTTTCAGCGGGAAGCTGGTGCTATGACTGTTACTTTGTGTTGGAGGCTGTGAGTGTGCTCATGGCAAAGAGTATTGCCAGAAGTTTGGTGGATAATTTAAAGTCTTGATGGTGGTTTGTTACATTTTTTATTTTCCCCGATAGTTGGGATGATGATCCAATCTGACGAACTCCATCATTTTTCAGGGGGGTAGGTCAACCACCAATTAGAATGGGAGCGTACCAAAGATCTGTGCAACTTTCATTTCGGGAGATCGGCAGATAGTGGTGGACCATCTCTTCTGAGCCCTGCTAGCCCTGCTCAGATCGGCTGGTTTGCTTCATTTCTTTCGATGGCGATGGCACAGGCCCACAGAATCAATGGCCTGTAGATCTTGGAAAACAGATTTTTGCATGAACCAGCTTGATGATTTAAACATTACCAACTCTTCAGTCTTGTTAGTGACTGTTAGTGCTTATATTCCCATGTCATCCCATGTCATCCCATGTCATCCCATGTCAGTGGAAGCCATATGGAGTAAACTGGAGTTGACACTGCCAGGAGCTCTTAATGGAAGGAGGCCTGGTGCTGAGTATTTTCTCAGCCAAATTTGTGGCCTGGTACATTTGTACATTTAAATTTATATTTACCAAACATGACCTGAACATGCAGAATTTCCGAACCTTCTCCCGGCGAACGTCGGCTTGTTTTTTGGGTTGGGAAATTTCCCGTCACTCAGGGCTTAAACCCTTGCAGCTCACTGGAGTCACCTTTGACCAAGTCAAAGCTGACAGCGCAGAACGAGCCCTGGGCTCAGCTTGGCTCAGATCTTTGCTCAGCTTTTGTTCTTTTTTTGAATCTTTTGGAATATGAGTTCTCAGTATTCCGATAGATTCCGATATCAATTTTTTTTACCATTTTCAATGGGTAAATCACCATTTTCAATGGGTAAATCCACTATAAATCACCATTTTCAATAGCTATGTTAAATTACCAGAGGGTATGCAAAAGGCAATGCTACTCCATGCGTAGCCAGGTCATTTTCTTCTGCGTCGCCTGGCTTGACGAGTGCGAGGAGATTTTTCTGGATGACAGGGCGGTCCCCTTTTTTGATCCGTTGGGATTATGGCCTTCAACCGGCCTAACAATAATGGTTGAAGAATGATATTTGGGGGTTTCATAAATGAGGATATTTTTCAGATACCCCAATAGCATTTTTCTTTTTTTTCGACGGAACATCCCATGAAATTGGATGCTAACTAGGGGTAGCCCTATTTTAGGAAACCTCCATTTGACTGTATAAACGGGTTTCCTCAAGATACTCCTAGACTTCACAATCAACTTCTTCTCATAAGAGCGCTTGGAAACATGGAGAGAAGCAGCGATACCCTCGGAGTCCTGGAAGGAGCTGAAGTTCGAGTTCAGGCAGGGCCAAGAGTTGGCGTCAAAAAGGATCCTCTGAATCACCAGATTCAGAGTCCCTTTTCTCCTGTTTCAGACATGCCCGCAAGGGCAGCTGCACTGGCTGCACTGCTTCAAACCTTCTTTCAGCTTCGGATTTTCTGTCGGATTTTCTGTGGCACCGTATCCTGGCTCAAGCCATAGACACCATGAGAAAAACAAATGGATGTTTAGAGGAAGCCACAAGCAGAAGCTTCGTCGATCAAATGGTGGAGTTATCACTCCTTCGGTACCTTTTCGCCGAACAGCAACGCATTCGGATTCTCTTGGAAGCAAGCTTTGAGACTCTAGTTTCATAGAAAAAACACCACCCAAAACGATGGACAACCAAATCCTGCAAACATAGTGGCCAACTACACCACTGTCAACTACCTTTCCATCATTTTTTTTGGGTTATTATTATCAGTCTGCCAGAAACTTGTGCTGATCATGGGCTGTGGCTGTTGCAAGGCTGCAGGGAAACTGTGTCTTTCCGGGTAATTTTGGTCGGGGGAATATAGGGAAGCTTCGATTTTTCAGCTGAAAAACAACCACATTTTTGGGTGGTTTGGGTGTGTTCCCTTTTTGTATCAGTTCTATCCTCATCGGTCTCCGAACAGCGTGCCTGTGGTGAAGCAACGGTGGAGGCCTCTGCTGTGGAGCCCAGTGATGGTGGTGGAACTGGTGGTGGAGTGGCTGCTGCGATGAGGACGAGGGCTTTGCTGATTTGGAACATCTACAACTCTGCTTTAACTATACTGGAGACTGGAGGCTATAAAGTATTTATATATATATACACATACACATTATACAATTATACACATATGTCTGTGTGTCTCTCTTTCGGTCTTAGTGTATCTTAGTGTATTGAGATTATCATGATCACATATTATCACCAAACACCTATATAGCCTATATATATATATAGCCTATATAAGTTTATGTTTTGAAATGCCACATTCATTGCATTTCAACTGATGGAACATCTGGAACAGGACCATCAGAGTGGGCGGCTTTGGAGGTGGACGACCCACCCTAGCAGAGCTCAGAAAGCTGAACGAACCAGGATTGGGCATCAAACCTGCAGGCAGTTGGTTGAGAGAAGGGATAGAAAACATGGATGGCTCTTCAATTCTTGGAGCACTTTTGGATGATTTTAGATGTTTTTTGGGGATTTGGATGTTCTGAATATCTATCATTTTTCGGTGGGTCAATAGTGACGACTCATACAGGAGGCAGTGTCATTTGGGTCACAAGCTGACAAGGACCAGATGAACAGCTTGGTGGGGAGAAGAAGGTGGGAGACTGGGACAACCCGCCACTTTTTGCCGTGAAAAAAGTAGCGGTTGCAGTTCTAAGCATAGTTGTTCTAGTTATAGTCTACAGTATCTATAGTCAGTTGCAGCTATACATATCATATGTATGTGTGTATATATATATACACATTGTATATATGTTTGTATCTAGGTCAATACATGGTCATGGTTCTCTCTCCTGTTGTGGTTTTGGGCATCCTTGCCGCGCTTGCCGCGGCGCAAGCGAGGCCTTTGGTAGTGACAAAGCTTCAGGAAAAGGCCTTCGATCCGGCGCAAGCTGTTTGGAAGTCTTGCAAAAGCGAAGCTCAGCTGCAGCCGGCGGTGGTTCCACCGTTCAAAGCACAGAGAAATTTCGATTTTTAGAAACTTGAGGGAGAAACGAAATTGTAGATTTCGAGAAATTCAGGGATTTATTGGTTCAATGAAAGATAAAGGAATAACCATCGCAATTTAGAGAACAAACACGAGGATTTAACCATCAAACACTACGTAGTATATTGTGGTTATCAACATCTATGGGGATGGGTCAATACCTATGAGCCAATGGCTTGGCAACGTCCATGACTACCAACATTTCATGGTGTGAAAACCCGAATGACAGGTTTCTCACAAAACCATACCCAGATGAACATCAAGTGATGAGCATCTCAGTTACTTGGCTGTTGGTTGAAAAAACGCTGGTTGTCCCATGTTTCACCTTTTTCGAAGCGTCCAAATAGGGTCATTTCATATTATTTCTGGTGAAGCCTACCATTGGGACCAGTAGATTCAGGTCCAAATCTACCTATCATCTCCCCATCTCTCTTTCTTCCTGATTTCATCATCTACCCTCTGGTAATAAAAAACATAGCGAAAATGGCCCATAGAAATAGTTGATTGACCGAACTTAAAGATGGTGATTTCCAGTTCGCAAACTGTAAACGTTTACTAGAGGGTAATGTCAACCCTGGATTAATAAACCCCAAACGGCTGTTTAATTGGGAGAGTACCATAGAAAAGTATCAAATCATGACTATTGGAGGAGTACCCCCCTAATTAATAAACCATGGATCACCACTATTAACCACTATTAACCACAATTATCCACTATTAACCACTATTAACCACTATTAACCACTATTAACCACTATTAAACTATGGTTTATTAATCCAGGGTTGACATAACCCCCAAAAACCCATTGATCATCACCGTCCCATGGTTGCGCGTCCCAGGCTCCGTGCTGGTTGCGGTGCGCGCCCGTCCCTTGAACGACCGAGAGAAGGCCGAAAAATCCAGCGAGTGTCTGACCTTCCAGGACCAAAAACGGGGGGATTTCAGCAATTTCAGGGGATGTTTTATCGAAAAAAACCTCCCAAAAGATGGGATTTTCTGGTTGTGGGATTTTATGGAGATACATGTCTGGGTTCTGCAAAACTTCAACCAGAATCCATTGTTTTTTTTCTGGTGGATGTTCTGTTTGATCCAACCAAATCCTAAAAATGGACTTGTTGTGCCCCTCATCCGCACTGTTGGTGCGATAAAAAAGGGGACCAATATTTTGTTCTGATATTTTAGGTGTGTGTTTCCAAATCACCTTCAGTCACCTCAGCATTGCGGAGCTGTTTTTCCTTCCCAGGATGTCACGGGCCTTACACTTCACCGTGATGATGAGAGGGAACACAAGTTTGCTTTCGACTGCGTGATGTCTCAAGACATTGGTCAAAGAGAAGTCTATGTCTGGACCTAAGTTTCGCTGTTGGTTCATGGCAGGTCATCCTGTCCTCACAAAATGGGTCTAAGGACAGGACAGCGAGACCGTTGCTTCACAAAGTTCTGGAGGGTCGGAGACTTGGAGAAAAAAACTGTGCAGCGGATCCAGCATGGTCTCCTCGGAGGATCTCATGTTTTCGGAGTGCCTTGGGACCCAAGGGCGGATGACTCATGGCATGGCCCGGTTGGAATCAGAAAATCCTCATGAAAGTTACAGTTTTTGATGGCTATTCAGCACCGGAGACAGGATACAATGGCTGTTTGTTTGCCTATGGGCAGACCGGCTCCGGCAAGACCTTCACCATGCAAGGCGCGTTTTGCTTTGTTTTTGCACAGCGACGCAGACCGTTGATCAACCACGGAGTGAACATACCCTCTGGGAAACTAACATAGCTATTGAAAATTGCCATTTATAGTGAATTTTCCCATTAAAAATGGTGATTTTCCATAGTTATGTTAGTTTACCAGAGGGTATAAACTATGAATCAATCAATTTTCCATGTGAAGCTGGTTTTCAACCATTAATGTAGTATACCTTGATACCCAATTTCACAAACCTCAAACTTGGGTTACCCTCTGATTATTTAGAAGTTCGCTATGTAAGCCATGGCCTATAGAAATAGATATATAATCAAGATGATGATTTAACTGTGAAAACTGATGAAACCAAGTTCGCAAACCGTTTTAGTCGTAACCAGAGGGTATGTAAGATTAAAACCTCTATAGACTCTATATTCCCATATTTTCCCATATTTTCCCATATTTCCCATCAACACCTCCCCAAAAACCGACCCTCTCCGTGAATTTTTCTCGGTCCACCAGGTGCTGGGGATCAGCCAGGAATCATCCCAACGCTCTGCAAGGAGCTCTTCAACGAGATTCAGGAGTGCGACTGAGATCATGGTTTTAATGATTCAAAGAGATGATATTTGAAATCAAAATCCTACTCATGAAATAGTGATGAATCACTTTTTCGCTTTTTTGGTGTTGCCATTATGATTGTAATATACATATGTACCATCTATTGTTGATGTAGCCACAACTCTGGTTGGACATTTGGCAAGGGATGTCCAGTGAATTTGCTGTGGTTCTGAGCCACTACCCTCTGGTTATGACTAACAGTTTGCCATGGAAAATCACCATGCTGTTGATGGGTGAACCATCTATTTCTATGGGCCATCTATACCATGGCTATGTTCAATAACCAGAGGGTAAACAATAATAAAACCATTAACATGATATTAGCCACATTAGTGTTTGAATTGTTTTATGTTTTTTTTTTTTTTTTAAATGTGGGTAAACAATAAACCACCCATTTGGGAATGGTAAACATACCACCTGTTTATGGTAAATATAAGTATATACACACATATATATATATAAAAACCATTGATATAAGTTTCATATTGATATCAATTGATAATCAAGATACATAATGGTCTTAATGATTCTAGGTAAATTTGATCACGACCTCACTGTTCTCCCTCACTGGAAATGATGGTTAGGAAGGGGAATCATCCCAAAATGGCCGAACATTTCAGGTTAGTGAATTGTTGTAATTTACCCAGATGATTCAAAGATATGATATAATATGATATAATATCAAAATCATATCGAAATCATAACCCCAAATTCGAAGCATATCAAATTCATATCGTCAAATCATATCCAAAACCATATTAAAATCGTAAAAAAAATATTTCCTGAATTCAGCATCCTAGAGGGATTCCGGTCTGCTAATTATAAACCGTTTATATTTTTGATTTTGCATGATTCGATGATGATATTATGGATTAGATGTTAGCATCTAAATGGTAGCTTTAGATAGACACTGATAGACACATTGATGGCAAAGACATTTTTTCGCTTTACATTGTGATCATAGTTGATACTGATAGATATAGTTGGATGGTTGGGAACTAGCTGACACCAAGGCTGGTGCGTACAAGCCTTTTGTCACAGAAATCTCCAACCTGTGAAGCATCATTGCCATGGAGCATCCAGGGGGTGTTCAAACATGGCAAGTTACCGCAGCCGTTTTTTTCAGCTCGGCTGAAAAATCCCCTAGAAAGAGTGCGATGATTTTCCCAGCAAAAAAACACCTTTTTTCTTATGGTTTTTCCATGTTTGTCCCATATTTTATGGCTGTCATTTCCCAGTCGCGTTGGAACATCCCACCGTTGCCTCTCATGGGGTTTTTGCATATTTCTCCAGGAGAGCGCGGCAACGAAGCACATCACTGTCGTCTGCAGCGTCCTGGAGATCTACAACGAGAAAGTGAAGGCTGGTGGCGGCTGGTGGCGGCTGGTGGCGGCTGGCAGAGTTTGGACCTTTGTTGGGGGCCAGTTTTGGGGCACCAAGACATCAGCTACCAGGCTACCATAGCTACTTTTATCCAAGTTCATCCAAAAGATATCTTCCCAACAAGATATAGTTACTATAGATAGTGACTATAGGTCGTTATTATAGGTCAATCATTTACGATAAGATGGGAATGGCAAGATGAACCTTCCAATGAGTTCCCATGGAGGGGATCATCCATGAAGACCAAGGTCCCTAAGGTGAGCTGGAGCTGTAGCCATATCCATAGTCGAACGATGATCACCATTCGACTCGCCACGCTTCAATCCACACACTGAATCCACGCATGAAACAAAAACAGTCCCATATTAAACAATCATTAAACATAATCCCATGAAATAAACACCAACAAATGGGATTTTGGAAAATGTTTAATCAATTGGGTGAACATTTAATGTTGATTAAACAATCATTAAACAATCCATTTTTTTTCATCAAATCCAAATTGGATTTGGACAGTGGTTTCCAGTGGGAAGTTAACCGGCGGCGCTTGCTGTGAACACCGCAGGATCTGTCCATCGAGTCAGGGGATGACCTCACCATCCGAGAGGATAGCTCCGCAGGCCCGTCTGAAGGGGGAAAGCCTGGCCAAAAAGAACTGCGACGGGGATTTTCTTGGAATCCCTTAAAAACATATATAAAAATGCCTGGTTTTTCTTGGGTTTACCACATTTACCACATTTTTTGTATCCAATCAGATCAATTCCAGTAGGGATCTAGGGATCCTGCAGCTCGCAGCTCGTCGAGGCGGTCGTGGAATCCACGTTGAAGGACTCACTGAGGCGCTGAGACGAGACTGTCCACGAGTGGAGTGGACAGTTGGCACCCCAAGCCCAACAAGAGCACACACATTTATTTGTTGCGATTTAATAGCTAGATATAGCTAGATATAGCTAGATCTTCTATCACCATGCCTTTTCAATTCGTTCAGCCAATTTTCTTGGCGACTCCACTTGGGTGCCAGGTTCAGGTTAAAAGTGGCCAAGAGGTTTTGGACTGCATCGCCAAGGCTGGGGTTTTGCTGCCAAAATTTGGGCGATTTGGGGCTCTAAATTTGGACCTCCCAAAATCCATGAACTTCTGTTTTTGGGGAATCATTTTTCCTCAAAATTGCAATGAACACCGGGAGAATCACAGTAATTTTTGTATGGTTTTTGTCATGTGGGCACTGCAAAATCCTATGGTTCATCAGGATCCATCCGCACAAGGCACAGCAGAGAAGGGCCGTTGGGAAGACCAACATGAACGAGCACAGCTCGCGTTGCCGGGCTCAGTATGTTGTAGTTCCCAAAGGAACTGGTAGAGCTAAAATGCACTCCTAGAAACAGAATCAGAAGCTGATTTGAATTCGAATGTATATTATATTATAATTCCATATTACATATAATTACATTAGATAATCATTATATTATATAATTATATGTATATATACAAAAAACAGTATCAGTTGCAGTTGCAGCATCTTTGCATTTGGACAGAAAGGGGACTTTCTGAGGCTCTCACTCCGTTGTGACGCTGCGGATCGGTGCATGTGATTGCGATGACGTGGATGGCGCCACGTTTCTCGCTGTAGCGGGTGGATGTTTCAGCCGGCGATGTTTGATGACCAACAAGTGGGGATGGGTCATGGCACCCTGGTACCGTGCCTTGTTCACCCCAAGTCATAGCTGGGTTAAAATGGATGTGAATAACCCACTATAGTAATGTATCTATAGGTATTGACCCATACCCAAGTAATGCGAAAATTTGAAAAAGTCCATGTTAGTAGCCCATTCGCCATAGCCGCCATAGACATACCTGTAAAAAGGAACTTTGCACTGAATGGGTAGGGACAGAACCACAAAGTGACGCTGGTTTTGCATCACTCTGCAGCCACAAATTACCACACAAGGTGAGTGGCAGAAAAATGGCACATCTGCAGTCATCACAAAAGACCCGTTTTTCCCATAGATATTCAGATATTCACTAGATATGGGTTTGTCTGAAAATTGTGTACCCCAAAAAACCCAATGGTTTTGCTGATCATTATCCCGTTTTTAAATGGCTATTTGTTTGGGAATATACCATATTTTCAGACAAACCCATATTCTTAGTTTCAAGATGTTTCAAGAGGTTTCAATGGCTTCCATCACTGCTGAAGGCTGACAGTCTCAAAGTTGCATCTCATCGATCTGGCGGGCAGCGAGAGGCAGAAGGCCACAGGTGCGCGATCATGGCGATTTGAGGACTCCTCCCATCCGTTGAAAAACAGCAAAACAGCCCACTTCGACTGGTTCCCAAATAAGTGTAAATGGAGATTGGCTAAACTATGGATACCCGAAACCATGTTTTTTTTTCATGGTTGTCGCAATAATTCTGACATCGCTCATTTTCGGACACTTCCACGGGACCTACTAAACCATGGTTTATGGGGGGTGGTTAATGCTAGGGGGGTGGGATTAATCATCCCAATCTATGGTACTGTAGATATATCTATAGTTGATGGGGTTTATCAAAGGAAGTTTAGTTGGACAACTTCCGAGTTACGGATGGTCATGGTCAGTATTTCCATCATTATGTCAACCACATCATGTCAACCATCCATCATCAAGCAGTTGGGAAATGTAACAGTTCGGCCGCGCATGAATGCACGGGTGAAAGCACACCCAACAATCATTTTGGATAGGTGGAACAAAAACAACCGCAAGAGAGGGAAGTCAAGTGAACTTGACCATTCAGGTTCAGTATTTTGCAGCTCATCACCCAATACAACACAAAGTAGTAGGTAGTCTGACAAGCATTTTAACTGAACATAGTTGGTTATTGATATCATTAAAATTCATTAAACATGTCATTATATTCACCATTAATCATATAGACTCACCCTTTTTGATGGGTTAACCCAGTGTATCCGTAACTGATGTTTAGTATGCGTCATGCATCCAGTCATCGGGTCATGACCAATGCCAGTGGTTAATTTCCGCCAATTCTCAGGCGCCACAGGAGATCGCTTGAAGGAAGGCGTGGCACGCCAGACAATCTTGGAACGGTAGTGATGTGTGGTTTGGTAATGGGGGCCCCTGGGAAAACGAGTCATTTCTAGGTGAAAATCCAACTTTCCCAAAGGGAAACATGGAGGCGATCAACTGCAGAGTCTCTGCAGGTGCACAAATCAACCTGTCACTCTCAGCATTGGGGAATGTCATCAATGCATTGACGGAGAAGACGGGTTCAGGCTGGGCCGAAAGGGCTGAACAGCTGCATTCTATGGAGTTTCTTATATAAATCAGAGAACTCGGATCAAAATTGGATGTTGGGCTGTTGATCATTGGGGTAGCAATTTGTTGGCAGATGACATCACCACTTTCGGGGAGCGATCCTAAATCAACCAGGGTGAATAACTGAAAAATGATAGAAATCCCGTGTTGACATTGGTTGGTGGTTTGGAATATTTCCTATATTTTTCCATATATTGGGGATGATCATCCCAACTGACTAATATTATGAATATGGGATTTATGAATATGTCCCAGGTTTTCTTCCCTGAATGGGTTGAAGGGCGTTTCCAGGAAACCCATGGCTTTTCCCCATGAAATATAGGGGGTTCCTGTAAAATTTCCCTTCAACTTAAATTCATTCATTGAATTTCCGGGAAACCAGGATTTTCTACTATCCACAGACGCCAGCATGGTGAAAATTTCTGAAGTGTTTCGGGCATCGAATTGAAGTTGATCATCTATCCACTTTCGTTTACATATAATTAAATGTGAAGTATATATATACATACACATGTAGTATATATATATGTAGTATGTACGTAGTATATATATGTAGTATATATGGAGTATATATGTATAGTGACCCCAAAAGGATATTTGAAATCAAAATCCTACTCATGAAATAGTGATGAACAACTTTTTCGATTTTTTGGTGTTGCCACTATTATTAAAATATACATATGTACCATCTATTGTTGATGATGTAGCCACAACTCTGGTTGGACATATGGTGGGATGTCCAGTGAATTTGCTGTGGTTCTGAGCAACTACCCTCTGGTTATGACTAACAGTTTGCCATGGTTTTTGGATGGCCCATAGGAATAGATGGTTTACCGAACTGAAAAATGGGTGGATCTTTCCATGGCGAACTGTGAATGTCATAACCAGATGGTAATTGAAGCAACCCTAAGTACCCCGTATTTCTTGGTGGTGCCCAAATCGCCTTGTCTTCAGCCTTTCGGAAACAAACAGGTCGACACGTGCCATACCGGGACTCGAAGTTGACGCGACTGCTGCAGGATTCGCTGGGTGGGAACTCCTACACTGTGCCTTGGCCAAGGTCAAATTAACCACAGACCTTAGTGAAAATGCGTCAAGTTAACCATCACTGAAAACATCCAGTGACTTCCAGGGAATCTGTAAAATCCATCGCGGAGACGGGCAAATCTGCAGAAACCCTCATATTTGTTGGGCAAAAATCGTGGTTTTTCCATCACAGGCAATCCTCTAAACACCGTAAGCCTTTTCAATTTTGTTCATATTCTTCTTTCTTTGGGGGCTTGAAGTTTTGCAGTGTGGACGGCATGACATGCCTTCCAGGTCATTATCTGCAATGTATCTCCTGCAAAGATCAATGCTGAAGAGACCTTGTCAAGTCTACGCTTCGCTGAACGGGCGAAGAAGATCGAGAACAAGGTGGCCTTGGATTTTACATATGGGCGGTATGGTTCAAAACTGTGGCTACTCGCCAAATTCGCACAAGTATATTATAATATATTATATGTATCTGTATATATTACGAAAGCCAGCTAGCTGGCTAGTTGCTGTTTGCGAACGAAGTGAGAATAGGGGGTGTGGGGGGGGTGGTTGCCGAAAGGGAACAAAATCTCGCCGTGCCCCTGTGTTGAGCGCCAGAAAACGGAGCATTTTGCTGGATTATGTACCACTATGTAATTTGCTGACGGTGGGGTATCGATTCCCCCTAGGTCCGCCTTTTTGGTGGCCGGAGAGACCATGAGGATGTATTGGAAAATGCAATGAAACTGCAGGAAAACATGATAACGATCAGAGGAAATCGTACAAAATCCACTGGAAAACGGACGAAAACGGAGCGAATGCTAGGAACAAACCATGGTCCCTTGGAAAATGGAGGAAACCGGAGCGAATGCTAGGCGCAAACCATGACGATGCAGTAAACATGTTGGAAAAATACAGTGAAAGTGCAGGAAAATGCGATAACAACCAGAGGAAGTGGTGCAAAAACGATCGGAAAATGAAGGAGACGGGTAAAACTCTTGGAAAAATATATTGAAAATGCAGCAAACCAGAGGAAATGGTGCAAAAAGGAAACGGGTAAAAATCTTGGAAAAATAGATTAAAAATGCATGAATAGACTGAAAACCCACGAAGAGGATATAGAAACAGCAGGAAAACATGATAACAATCAGAGGAAATCGTGCAAAATCCACTGGAAAATGCTGGAAAGATACAGTGAAGGAAAATGTGATAACAACCTGGCAGGAAAATGTGATAACAACCAGAATAAAGGGTGCAAAATCTGTTGGAACATGGAGGAAACCGGAGCGACTGCTAGGAACAAACTATGACGATGCAGTAAACATGCTGGAAAAATACAGTGAAAGTGCAGGAACATGCGATAACAACCAGAGGAAATGGTGCAAAAACGATCGGAAACTGAAGGAGACGGGTAAAACTCTTGGAAAAATATATTGAAAATGCATGAAATACAGGAAACGAGAGGAAATGGTACAAAAAACCATAGAGGAAAGCGGTGAAAATGGTAGGAAGCATGTAATAAAAAAAGCTGGACAAAACACAGTGAAAACCTACAAAAGAGAAGAAAATAACCACAGGAAACGGTAGAAAAAGCAGTGGAAACTGGAAGAAAAGTTGTGACAATATTAGGAAAACGGTGTACAAGCTAGGAAATGCTTGTAACAACTAGAGGAAACAATGTAGAAAACAGTACAGGAGGACACGCGTGAACATGCTAGGAGGCATGTAACATGTTAGAAAAATACAGTGAAAACCTAGGAAAATGTTATAACTAAAAATGCTTTAAAAATATAGTGAAAACCAAGACAATGTCAACGAGCGGAAACGTTGAGCAGGAAATACGATTTGGTTTAGATGATGAGCAACGTAGTTTGGTGATAGGAAATAGTGGCTGACTCGCGTACAAGACATTGCCATGAAACCTTGGAGCAAGATGCGGATGGTATAGGAAAAAAGATGTATGAGTTGTAAGATTTTAGGAGTTGCATGGGAAAATTGGTTTCATGGTAATCTGTGTGAAGTTAGAAAAGTGTGATTTCGTTCACAGAGTAAGAAAAATAAATACAATCTGCAGTTTAGAGTATTTATAATGCTTAAAGCTGTTTGACTTTTTTGGTGCCTCCCTGATTCTGGTAGTTTTGTGATAAGAACTACAAAAACGATCTACTGGTAAACGGAAGGAATAGTCTTTCCGGTTTAGAACTGAGTCGACTGTCAAGTGATGCATAGGCTCCAGGCCTCTGGTTATACGAAAGCCAGCTAGCTGGCTAGTTGCTGTTTGCGAACGAAGTGAGAATAGGGGGTGTGGGGGGGGTTGGTTGCCGAAAGGGAACAAAATCTCGCCGTGCCCCTGTGTTGAGCGCCAGAAAACGGAGCATTTTGCTGGATTATGTACCACTAGGTAATTTGCTGACGGTGGGGTATCGATTCCCCCTAGGTCCGCCTTTTTGGTGGCCGGAGAGACCATGAGGATGTATTGGAAAATACAATGAAACTGCAGGAGAACATGATAACGATCAGAGGAAATCGTACAAAATCCCCTGGAAAACGGACGAAAACGGAGCGAATGCTAGGAACAAACCATGGAAAATCCCTTGGAACATGGAGGAAACCGGAGCGAATGCTAGGCGCAAACCATGACGATGCAGTAAGCATGCTGGAAAAAGACAGTGAAAGTGCAGGAAAATGCGATAACAACCGATCGGAAAATGAAGGAGACGGGTAAAACTCTTGGAAAAATACATTGAAAATGCAGCAAACCAGAGGAAATGGTGCAAAAAGGAGACGGGTAAAAATCTTGGAAAAATAGATTAAAATGCATGAATAGACTGAAAACCCACGAAGAGGATATAGATGATATAGAAACTGCAGGAAAACATGATAACAATCAGAGGAAATCGTGCAAAATCCACTGGAAAATGCTGGAAAGATACAGTGAAGGAAAATGTGATAACAACCTGGCAGGAAAATGTGATAACAACCAGAATAAAGGGTGCAAAATCTGTTGGAACATGGAGGAAACCGGAGCGACTGCAGGAACAAACTATGACGATGCAGTAAACATGCTGGAAAAATACAGTGAAAGTGCAGGAAAAATAACAACCAGAGGAAATGGTGCAAAAACGATTAGAAACTGAAGGAGACGGGTAGAACTCTTGGAAAAATATATTGAAAATGCATGAAATGCAGGAAACGAGAGGAAATGGTACAAAAAACCATAGAGGAAAGCGGTGAAAATGGTAGGAAGCATGTAATAAAAAAAGCTGGACGAAACACAGTGAAAACCTACAAAAGAGAAGAAAGTAACCACAGGAAACGGTAGAAAAAAGCAGTGGAAACTGGAAGAAAAGTTGTGACAATATTAGGAAAACGGTGTACAAGCTAGGAAATGCTTGTAACAACTAGAGGAAACGATGTAGAAAACAGTACAGGAGGACACGCGTGAACATGCTAGGAGGCATGTAACATGTTAGAAAAATACAGTGAAAACCTAGGAAAATGTTATAACTAAAAATGCTTTAAAAATATAGTGAAAACCAAGACAATGTCAACGAGCGGAAACGTTGAGCAGGAAATACGATTTGGTTTAGATGATGAGCAACGTAGTTTGGTGATAGGAAATAGTGGCTGACTCGCGTACAAGACATTGCCATGAAACCTTGGAGCAAGATGCGGATGGTATAGGAAAAAAGATGTATGAGTTGTAAGATTTTAGGAGTTGCATGGGAAAATTGGTTTCATGGTAATCTGTGTGAAGTTAGAAAAGTGTGATTTCGTTCACAGAGTAAGAAAAATAAATACAATCTGCAGTTTAGAGTATTTATAATGCTTAAAGCTGTTTGACTTTTTTTTGGTGCCTCCCTGATTCTGGTAGTTTTGTGATAAGAACTACAAAAACGATCTACTGGTAAACGGAAGGAATAGTCTTTCCGGTTTAGAACTGAGTCGACTGTCAAGTGATGCATAGGCTCCAGGCCTCTGGTTATTGTCACAAAGCATTGGAATGAAGATTGCGCCCAGGAGCCACCTAGGTTAGGAGACAAATGCTGTAATATCATTGTAAGAGGCCGTACTGAGAAGGCTGAAACAGAACTAAAAGTGAATCTTGTACTAAAACATCGAGAAAGAATTTGAATCTTCTAATGGCAATGACGGGAATGATATGCATCTGTACGTCCGTGATAGTATGTGTGCCTTTTAAAAGGGGTGTTTGGCGAGTGTGATAGCTGAGAAGATTTTCCGGGATGCCAAACAATTATCTCTATCGATGTCAGGGATGATGCTATTCCGCGACATTTCCTGTAAAATACCTATTTTCCAGACCCTTGGGGGGTGGGGGGGGTACCCAGGTCTGTAAATGGCCTAAATATATACTTTTGATTTGGACTGCATGTTCGCCACTGTTCTATATTTCCCGTGGGTTTTGCATTGTTTTCCTCGATTTTCATTCGTTCTTATACCCTTTCTTACGTATGTTATAATATTGTCTTGGGTTTGCACTGCCCATTTTGCGAGTAGAGCTATGTTTTGATTTCTCACCGTAGGGCCAAAATGTTGCGGAACTTCGTGGAGAAGCATGGACCACGATTCTGGGGAGAAAACAATTTAGACTTTGAGAGGTCACGTGACCACTGTTCACACAAAAAAACGGGTATTATTTATCTACAATAGATGGGAGCAAACTTGCGCTGTTTTAAGATAAATGAGCAACCAAAGGCGGATTTACGGAACTTGAGATAGAACTTTTCACAATGCCGCAGTACATTGTAGGAAACATATTTGGATATAGAAGTTACAAAATCGTGGAGTTTACCCTAAAAAGGTCAATTTAATGATTGGAAAATTATGACCCGATAGCAATTGTTGATGTTGGGGCGCTTCATGTTTGAGCCATGCCATATGGATGAGGTGGAGTTCCACGCGCCCCCGCGCGAGTCAAAAAGCAAGCGCTGGCTTTCGTTCCACCCCTTCTCAGGTATATATAATTATAATATATATATATATAATTATAATATATATATAATTATAATATATATATATATAATTATAATATATATATACACACATGCATAGTTGGTGTTATACATGGCTATGTCTCAGATTATTCCCATGGGATGAAATACGACACCAACCGAGGCCGTGGTGAATCGAGATCCGAAGGGGGAACGAATTCTGGAATTGCTCCAAGAGAACAAGGCCTTACGTGCCAAAGTTGCGAGACTCGAGGCTCACATCGATCGTTGCTTGACTGAAGTTTGCTGCGAGAAAAAAAGAAAGTGGATAGTTTAACAAATTGGATTGTTTAACCAGCCAGTGTTTGGATAGGTTTATCATTGATTTTTCTTTGCGACATCATCCTCAGTTCAGTGTTTTCGTTTCCAAATTTGGCTGCCAAGATGGTCAGCTGAGGTCTGGAAATGTACTACGATAAATGATTCCCTTAGCAGCTGAGTTCTGCTTTCCTTTAGGCAGTGATGTTACCACAGACCAGGGGGGTATTGGATGGTTTGGATGTTTTGAGCCTCATGGATTGGTAATGGCTTCACCCCTGACACCGAAAAACCATGTCGGCGAGCCCAAAACGGCTCGCTGACCAGCGACCCCGCGACGAACGGGTCACTTTCGGTGTCCTGCCATCAGAAAGTGTGGCGGGACCAAAGATGATTTTAACGCATGAGAATATGACAGCTGCATGGATAATGTCATGGAAAGTTCCTTCTGCACAGTACTGTGCAGGCTGTTCTTTCCAGCTTGGCAGTCCCTAAAAATGGGGAAGTGCCGTTTTTCCGGCTGAAACACCATTTATCCAGAGCAGTTAACACAAGCTGATCTTGACCCAGTTGGAGTCCAAGAGGAGTCTCATTCCAGGTTTCTCTGGGCAAAGCAATGGTGGCCAGCCAAAACGTGTATAGTGTAGCTTCCACTCTAGTAGCCAACCCTCGATGCCATCCGCCATTGTGGGTCAAGGCTGACCGGCTAACCCCTGACTGAACGACGGGTAAAGATTGAAGCTGCTGGGAACCGCACCCACGTTTGACCCATAGCCGCTCGAATTCTTTGGATTGTTTCAGGATGGTGTAAGGGAAATTCTAGCAGGAAATCATGTTTTTTTCGATTCCTGCAAGTAATTTGCAGCAGAATCACAACAAAATCATGCGAAACGATGCCAAAATCATCCCCAAATCATCCCAAACCCATCCTCAAATCATGTCAAACCATTCCGAAACCCATCCCCAAAAAGTCGCTCCGCCAGGAAAATGGCCCTGCAGCGCTGGCAAGTGGCGCCCATCCGCTATGCGGAGGTGGACTGCGCCCGAGAAAAGGTGCTCTGCAACAGGGAAGGCGTTTGGAGTCCCAGATTTTATGGTGGAACCGTTGGGGCCGAAGATATTTGAAAATGGCTTGGAATCACTAGTTTTCATCTAGCTTGAAAGCTGTAATCTTGCGGAAGCTTCCATCATGCTGAACCGCCATGTGAGACTCGAACACCTCATGCTGCCCAGAATTGGTTGAAGGGGAAGTCTGCAGGAAACCCGAAAAACTTATCATATTTCGGACAATTTTTCAGTTGATTTTAAGGCAACATTGAAAAACCCATGGTTTCCTATGGATTTTCCCAAGAATCCATTGAATGCTGAGAGTCTTCCTTCTCCTGGCATGGCTTCGCTGGTCGCTTGGGGTAAGCTCCGACTTCCTGAACTGCGACTGGGACCAGGACTGGCGCAGCTTCCGTCGGGCCTTCGCGCAGAACGCGCGGGCCGGGTATCCGTGGGACGCCGAGCTGCAACGGCAGGCGCAAGAGCTACTGCAGAGCAACTGGGGGAACTTGCAGCCCGATGACCAGGCGGGGCCATGGTTTGGTGAAGTCATTTGGTGAAGTCAAACTAACCCAAAACTGGGGAGTTGGGTGGAAGAAACCTAGGGATTGCTATGAGTTATTGGTTGAACCAACCATGAATGGGATCTCTGTCACTTCAACCAACCGGAAGTATGACTTGATTTGGTTCACAATGAGAAGGAAACCAGCAATGATTGACAACCATCTTTTTTCAGGGTCAACACATATTAAAAATGGTTAAAACCACCAGCCAGAGGCCATTTATGGCATGTCCGTGGCCATGCAAAGCTTTTTCCTCAGCTGTAACAGCCGACCTGGAACGGAGTTGAAGCCATTCTGCCTCTATGGAGTGGTGGCCGCCTTGTGGGTCTGTGCCAGACATGGACACCACGAGAAGAGCTTGTTGGCGCACGCCAAGTTTCTCCTGGGGGATGTCTTTCGCTCTGCTCTGGATTTCATGGAAGGTTCGGCCTGGCCAGTGGATTCCATCGACATCTGGGCGAATGATCTGGGCCGGACAGAGTTCCGTCTACCTCCGCAACTGCGAACGGAATATCAGAAACCGGCAAGCTTGAAAAAACAGGAGCAACCAGTGGAACCAGTGTTCACGGTTTCTTAGATTTGCTGGTGATGGGAATGTCTGTTATTTCATGTTATTTCTACAATCCACCATTGGTGAATCCACCAGAGGGAATCCACTGGGAAGATCTGCGGTTTTTTACACTCTGGCTCATCTGGTAAGAAATCCATCCGTTTGTTTGGCCCATTTTGCCCATGGCATCATGGCCTTCCCAACTTATCCGCTGAAGGTGTGGGAAATGGGAGTGCACGCCAGCTTATCCGCTGAGCCTTTGCAGATGTGGGCCAGGAGTTTGCCGGTGAAGCTGCGACATCGCAACCTCATTCGAGAGCAGTATCCCCAGTGGTTGCCCCAGAAGTGCGAAACCCGGACACATTTGTGAGGTTTGCTGATTTTCCCAGGGGCGAATCTACCAGAAATGGGCTTTGTATACTGGGAAGATGATATATATAATATATATATATATAATTATATATCACACACATATTTTGGTCCCATGAAGCAAGTCCAAGGAGACATTGTACGGACATCCCAAACTGACGTGTGATGATGTCGAGGATGACATCACTGAACTCTTTCGGGAACGGATCCCGCAGAGCGCCACCTCCAAAGACCCGGTACAGGAAATGGGCTCCTTGGCCTCCGAGTTTCACAAGAGGTTTGCCCAAAAGAGAGAGCAGGTGAGGTTTGGGACCAAAACAACCAGACTTTTTGGAGATTGAAATCCACGAAAGATGGTGATTCATCCAACAAGAACAACAACTATGGCGATTCACACCTGAAATTCGAAGGTTCGTCAGTTAGGAGGGTTGATCCGCGGCTTCTCCCGCTGGAACGTGGCCCAAAATGTTTTGTTCCATGTCCCAGGTGGATCTTTTTCTCTGCACCATTGCTTATTTGTGCCTCTTAGCCGAGCACTTGGACAAGCCGATCATTGGATACTTTGGACACCCCTTGCTCTTTATGGTCCCCGATGTGGAGGAAACGCGCGAAGACTTTTGGCAGAGCTTCGTTGGCATGGCCAGGAGTTGGGTTGATACCGTTGATACCTCTGGGCTTAATTTGGGGGGATACACATCCAACAAAAAACCTGCTATTTTGTTGTGAAAACCAGCAGATCCCTGGGTTTCACCCATACAAAATGAGTTGTTTCGGTGGACTGAACTCAAAGATCGATGTCAGGTTGAATTGATCCAAGTTTAGCAACAGACATTTGCAGACAACATTCACCATGTTGGCCAAGTGCATGAATATTTCATGGCACAACTCGCACCACTCATCGCGCCAGGAGCCGTTCGGCTGCTTTTGCTGTGAGCGACCCATTCTTGCAGATGCAGTATGAGTATCAGGCAGGGACCTGAAGCTCTGGCATCATCCCCTAGGGGAAACACAGCCCCATTGTATGGCTGGCATCCTCTACATCAACCACCATGGTTTCTGGGGTGAATTATTTGAAGGGGGCATGGAATTTTCGACATTTCCATGGCTTATCCCATCCAAAATTACACTGGAAATCACATCAATTTTGTTGCTTAAGTCTCAACTTGTGTGTTAAGATACCATCATTTTGTTGGGTTAAACCAACAAACAACTCACACATGTGGTCCACAAATTATGATAAATTGTTTTTTTTGGTGACCACGAATATGACCCTCCTGTAGGCTAACAGTTCGATGTGGAAAAGCCGCCCGAAAACATCATTTTCCGACTGGGTTTCATTATACGTTTTCCCCATGAATTTTCTGGTGCTTAGTAGGGAATGGTGGAATGGGATAATTGTACCATTAACCAACTAGAAAATTTATAAAATTTACATAAACCATTCACCAGGTACAATGTAAATAGTATGGATCATTCCCCCATTCCCTATTAAACACCAGTACCCTCTGGTAAACTAACATAACTATGGAAAATCACTATTTTTAATGGGTAAATCCACTATTAATCGCCATTTTCAATAGCTATTTTGACGTAACCAGAGGGTAAGTCTTAATGATGGCCCAGTGTCTTGGCGTCAGGTAGGCCATCCACGTCTCGAAGCGATTCGAACGCATGCGCTCTACACGGCTGCCACGCATTTCCCAGTGCGGACGGATGAGGTGCAATTCATTGGGGTAATTTTTGAATATTAATATGATGATGATATATAGTAAAATTTTGAATATTAATAGTAAAATTACAATAATTAAGCTAGTCCCCTATCAAACTGATTTATATCATTCTATATTAATATGGGTATGGGTCAATACCTATAGATACATTACTATAGTGGGATGAACATCCATTTTAACCCAGCTATGACTTGGGGTTCACTAGGTACCAGGGTTTTGACCCATAGGCATATGATGATGATATATAACACAATGTATATACTGTACATCTATGTATACATTGAGTATATAATAGCATGTAATGTACACAATATATATATATAGGATCATATCATGTAATGTAAACAATATATTGTATAAATAATATGTATTCTAACTATCATTTGGAAACCGAAGTCAGCCGAAGTCAGTCGCCTTCAGTCGCACTCAGTCGCTCACCCGCAGTCAGCTGCAATCAGGCGGCAAAATTTTTCACCCTCCCTCCCGGTAAACCTATTTGTATATAGACGTGTGTATATATATAAATATCTATCTATTGTATTATATGATAGTAATATATATTGTAATATAATATAATAGATAGATATATAATATAATATGATATATATATATGATATAATATAATATAGTATAATATAATATAATATAACAGAACATAATCTATTAGAATATAATATAATACAAGTAATTGTTTATATAAATATGTAAATGATATATATATATACCCATACATACACACACACACATATACACATACATACATACATACATACGTACGTACGTACGTACGTACGTACAAACATACAAACATACGAACATGCACACATACATAACATGTATAAGATATATAACATATATCCGTATAGATTTGGATGTGAATACGATCTATCGCTGTCCCGGTTTCAACATTTGCCAACGCTTGAACTAACCCACTGACTCTGATCAATTTGGAGGTTTCCTGCAGAGTTTCAAGCCGGGTCTGGGAGGGCGCTACTGTACACACACATATATATATACTATATATATAATATATATAATATATATATACTATATAATATATATATATATCTCGTTGGTCAGCTTGTGACCCTGAGGTGTTGGTTTTGGACCGTCCTCATGAGTCAGTTCTGATGTGTTTGATCCGACGCTCCATGGCTGGAGATAGCAATGTTGAGAGTTGGCCAATGGCAGAAGGGCGGTTGAGGGCTGCCAGCAGCCCGGAATACCCTTATCGATTCATCACAAGCATCTTAACTGAATTGGAAATCACCTGGGGTTGGATTTGGGAGGATGTCCTTGATGAAATTTAGGTGTTTAACACTTTCTTGCAGATGCTGAAGATTTTTGGTAGTCTTCAAGCAACATCAGGGTCTTTGACCGACAAGAAGTTCAGCACATTTGCACAGTTTCGTGCCGTGGTGATGTGGGCCTACGACATGGACTTGATAACTTTCTACGAGTTCTATAGCATGAACATGCCTATCTTTATGCCATCGCACCTCTCAAAGTATCTGTTCCAACAGGAGAGGATGAATATGATGAATCCCGCACTGTGCACCGGACACTTTCGTGGCTAACTATCATTGGGGTCACCGCTTTCATGGAGATGATTGTGAACTTGGTAGTTCGCTCCTTCATAGTTATGCGAGTAAACTTTGTTGTTCTTGAGAGCGAGAGAGCGAGAGAGAAAGAGACCGTGAGCGAACGCGAACTCTCAGTTTTTTTTTTTTCGAATCACCATAGAGTATGTCAGACAGACCGCTTCTTTCTGACTCAAAGAGGATCACGGTGCTTATGATTACCAATGGAAGAAACGACGATTAGATTTCGGAGCATCTCAGCTATGGCCTCCTGACATTGATGCCTCTTGGCCTTGAATGGCGGAGGGAAGTGAAACTCCACATCCAGAAATTGATCCCCGGTGCCGCATGCTGCCGCAGCTGAGGAATCTCCTTTTCAGGAGAGGAACTTGGATGCTGTTCAAAGAATTCTGCACTTCACAGACTACTTTCGCTTTCCCCATGTGCTCTACTTCGATTCCATTCCAGATTTGCTGGCGAGGACTGAAAGGGGAGCTGGGCACTTCTTCTCCCTAAAATCAGGGTTACTCCAATCCATTAGGTGAGAGATAGCCACAAAGGGTGGGATGGAAATAGGTAATTTTAGCTCTTTATCTACACATTCCAGCTCCAAACGTATCTGTGGTGTTAGGGACAACCCTGAAAAGCACAGTGTGATTCTGATGTGTGTTTCACATCAGACATTGCAGGTTGCCAGAGACCGACTTCTTCAGTGTATCTCAATCAATGGCGCTGCCGGCATGTAAAGCGTCGGCACTCTGGCTGTTTCCAGATTTCTGATTTTCCGTCCTAGCTGTGATGATGGCCAATTATGCTGAGCTTCACATACATATACTGTATCCATAATATATCTATATTATATATATATGTATATAAATACACATATACATATACATATACACATTATATTCTATATACGCACATATTACAATATATATATATATAAACAGACACTATTTGGGATGGTCCACGAAATCAGCTGGATTTCTGAATGTTGGACTGTGAGAGCTTGGCGCCAGGCCAACTTCAACCAGGACGCTCTGATGGAAACATCGCATTCCTGGCAGCGCTTGCTGAAACGCGTGGATTTCAGCTTCGCTTGACATCTCTAAGATCCAGGTTCCCCATGGTTCTCCAATGGTTCCCCTCCCCAGGTTGCCCTCCGTTGGACCCAGCGGCCAGCGTTAGCTGTGGTGATGGTGATGGTGATGGACCATCCTCCAATCCTGGAGCATCCTGGAGCATCCTGGAGATGGGGCATGGGTCAGTGCTGAAAAAGGCTGATGGGAAACCATGCGATGAAGCTGTGCCATGCTGGATGGTGAGACTGCTTCGACATGCGGCAAAGGTTGAGACCTATCCCAGCGTCAATCGCTACATTCATGGAAGGAGGGTCCAGGCGCACACGGACGCGTTTCTGTTGTCATCATCCAGGCTTTGCTGGAACAAAGATAAGTCATTCAGTGGCAAAGCTAACCACGAATCATCCTCAAAATCACCATTTCTATGGGTGCTAGAAAACATAACATCATTCCCAGTCATGGTAGTTGTTTGTGGCAGCCGGGGTGAATCCCGCATTAGCCATCGGACCATGAGCGTGTTGAGTGTGTCGTGCCAGGTATGGCAAGGTTCTCTGGGGAGCCCTAACCTTCAGTCGCAGCAGCAGGAGCGGTTTTTTTCTGACAGCGCAGCCATCATTTCCCACCATTGTGTTGCCAGCTATATAGCTTATTATAGCTTTATATGGGGGTCAAAATGATCAATTTCCATCAAATTCCTGGAAATTGGATACTTTAGCTCTACGTTACTGCTTATGCCGTCGAATTTTCGTCAAGATTTTTCATGGTGGGTCCATTGGTACCGCAAAAAAAAAACTGACCGAAGAGGAGCTGCTTTGGTGGATTCGCTCACCTGCTGCCCGACTGGCAGCCAATGTGGTGCAGGTGGGTTTTTCAGATCTCGCTGTTGAATGAAAAATGGGTCTTTTTTTCATCATAAGATATGATTGGTGCCCATTTATTTTTTGGGCTTCAAGATGTTTGGAGACCAAGACCAATACATTTTCCCGGTCAAAAATGGGGGTGAAAGGAATCTTCATCCATGGACAGGTGGGGATGGGATGAAACCTACCAGACCTACCACCTTTTGGGGACAAACATGTTGTGGAAACCATTGGATGCCATGGTGAATTGATCCACACACACATCTAACTGGGCTTGGAAATTACTTTACTTCGAGTGCTCCCCACCCTGAAATATGATATAATTTGATATTCTCTCTGGCATCCATTCTGGCGTTCTCGCATTCCATCTGACATATATTCTGACTGTCTGGCATTCTCTGGCATGTGTTTGGGTCCAGGCGTGCCAAGTCTCCGTTGAGGTCCGGCAGTGCCTACTGAGATCTGGAGCTCGCAGTTGAAGCAGAGTCGTCTGATAAAATCTAGAGACCCTCACCTGGGCAGATGGGGAAATATTTTGCAAGTCATGGGGATTTTCCATGATTGTTGGCGATTTTCCATGATTCTCATAAATCATTCATAAATCATACATAAATCATACATAAATCATACATACTTTCCATGGATTTTCCGCTTTTCTCTGCGAAATTTTCCGTGTTTTTTTCCCAAAAACACCAAGGACCCCGGAGCGGCGCAGCAAGTCATGGCAGATCTGCGTGGGGCCCGCAGATGACCCAGTTTCAACAGGGGGAACAATGGAAAAATGGTGGTTTCACCATCAAAGATTGGAGATCTTGATGACTTAACATGGCTTAACCAGTGAATATCATGATTATGAAGTTATCCATCCCAGGTTTTCAACTAGCATTTTGGATGGTATTCTTCCATTATATCCCCATGATATGGTAATGGAGCTTTCCATCCCAGGCTCGGCCGTGAACGTCCTGGTGGGAGAGCATGGACGACCGGACAACCGTTGTGCTCCTGTTTCAATGGGGGTAGCCCCAGTTATCATCCATTTTTAGGGTATTTTTCCATGATAAACCATCCATAAATGGGGGTACTTTCCATGGAAACCACCAAAAAAACTGTATCATGAATATAGTATATATAGTATTCCCCAATATCCGAGAACAGTATTTTTTGAAAATTCACCAATTGATCCTTTTTTTGGGGGTACCGTACCTGACACGTGATTGTACATTGTAAACTATCTTTGGTTTGTCCAAACCTGGGGCATCCGGGATACCACAATAAATTTGGTCAGTGTTAGGGAAAAACACTGATCATGGATCTATCCATTTTAAAATCCATGATTTCTTTGTGGTACACCACATCGGTGTCTTTTTTGTAGGAGTCAGGGATGCCCTGACCCCCTGACCGTGCTCCGCGAGGTCCTCATCTCTGCGTCGATGGCCTTTCTGAAATTGTGCCTCAACATGATGAGGCCCGTGTCATGGCCGATGAAATATTGGCCATGACCAAGAAAGACTTTTCTGAATGGGGGGCGTATCTTCTCGGTGGTTTCGAAATCAAAGATTTTCCGATATTCTACTCCTACTTGGAGGATCATCTCAATCGTAAGTGGTTAGTAACCATAGTAGCCATAGTAACCATAGTAACCTTAGTAACCATAGTAACCATAGAAAGTAACCATAGTAACCATAGTAACCACAGTAACCATAGTAACCATAGTAACCACAGTAACCATAGTAACCATAGTAACCATAGTAACCATAGTAACCATAGTAACCATAGTAACCATAGTAACCATAGTAACCATAGTAACCATAGTAACCACAGTAACCACAGTAACCATAGTAACCATAGTAACCATAGTAACCATAGTAACCACAGTAACCATAGTAACCATAGTAACCATAGTAACCATAGTAACCATAGTAACCATAGTAACCAGTAACCATAGTAACCATAGTAACCATAGTAACCATAGTAACCATAGTAACCATAGTAACCATAGTAACCATAGTAACCATAGTAACCATAGTAGTAACCATAGTAACCATAGTAACCATAGTAACCATAGTAACCATAGTAACCACAGTAGTAACCAGTAACCACAGTAACCATAACCATAGTAACCATAGTAACCATAACCATAGTAACCATAGTAACCATAGTAACCATAGTAACCATAGTAACCATAGTAACCACAGTAACCATAGTAACCATAGTAACCATAGTAACCATAGTAACCATAGTAACCTTAGTAACCATAGTAACCATAGTAACCATAGTAACCATAGTAACCATAGTAACCATAGTAACCATAGTAACCATAGTAACCATAGTAACCATAGTAACCATAGTAACCATAGTAACCATAGTAACCATAGTAACCATAGTAACCATAGTAACCATAGTAACCATAGTAACCATAGTAACCATAGTAACCATAGTAACCATAGTAACCATAGTAACCATAGTAACCATAGTAACCATAGTAACCATAGTAACCATAGTAACCATAGTAACCATAGTAACCATAGTAACCATAGTAACCATAGTAACCATAGTAACCATAGTAACCATAGTAACCATAGTAACCATAGTAACCATAGTAACCATAGTAACCATAGTAACCATAGTAACCATAGTAACCTTAGTAACCATAGTAACCATAGTAACCATAGTAACCATAGTAACCTTAGTAACCATGTAACCATAGTAACCTTAGTAACCATAGTAACCATAGTAACCATAGTAACCATAGTAACCATAGTAACCATAGTAACCATAGTAACCATAGTAACCATAGTAACCATAGTAACCATAGTAACCATAGTAACCATAGTAACCATAGTAACCTTAGTAACCATAGTAACCATAGTAACCATAGTAACCACAGTAACCACAGTAACCACAGTAACCACAGTAACCACAGTAACCATAGTAACCACAGTAACCATAGTAACCATAGTAACCATAGTAACCATAGTAACCATAGTAACCACAGTAACCACAGTAACCATAGTAACCATAGTAACCATAGTAACCATAGTAACCATAGTAACCATAGTAACCATAGTAACCACAGTAACCACAGTAACCATAGTAACCTTAGTAACCTTAGTAACCATAGTAACCATAGTAACCATAGTAACCATAGTAACCATAGTAACCATAGTAACCATAGTAACCATAGTAACCATAGTAACCACAGTAACCACAGTAACCATAGTAACCATAGTAACCATAGTAACCATAGTAACCATAGTAACCATAGTAACCATAGTAACCATAGTAACCACAGTAGTAACCATAGTAACCATAGTAACCATAGTAACCATAGTAACCATAGTAACCATAGTAACCATAGTAACCATAGTAACCATAGTAACCATAGTAACCATAGTAACCACAGTAACCATAGAAACCATAGTAACCATAGTAACCATAGTAACCATAGTAACCATAGTAACCATAGTAACCACAGTAACCATAGTAACCATAGTAACCATAGTAACCATAGTAACCATAGTAACCATAGTAACCATAGTAACCATAGTAACCACAGTAACCATAGTAACCATAGTAACCATAGTAACCATAGTAACCATAGTAACCACAGTAACCATAGTAACCATAGTAACCATAGTAACCACAGTAACCATAGTAACCATAGTAACCTTAGTAACCATAGTAACCATAGTAACCATAGTAACCTTAGTAACCATAGTAACCATAGTAACCATAGTAACCATAGTAACCAGTAACCATAGTAACCATAACCATAGTAACCATAGTAACCATAGTAACCATAGTAACCATAGTAACCACAGTAGTAACCATAGTAACCATAGTAACCATAGTAACCATAGTAACCATAGTAACCATAGTAACCATAGTAACCATAGTAACCATAGTAACCATAGTAACCATAGTAACCATAGTAACCATAGTAACCATAGTAACCATAGTAACCATAGTAACCATAGTAACCATAGTAACCATAGTAACCATAGTAACCATAGTAACCATAGTAACCATAGTAACCATAGTAACCATAGTAACCACAGTAACCACAGTAACCATAGTAACCATAGTAACCATAGTAACCATAGTAACCACAGTAACCACAGTAACCATAACCATAGTAACCATAGTAACCATAGTAACCATAGTAACCATAGTAACCATAGTAACCATAGTAACCATAGTAACCATAGTAACCATAGTAACCATAGTAACCATAGTAACCATAGTAACCAGTAACCATAGTAACCATAGTAACCATAGTAACCTTAGTAACCATAGTAACCATAGTAACCATAGTAACCTTAGTAACCTTAGTAACCATAGTAACCACCATAGTAACCATAGTAACCAGTAACCATAGTAACCATAGTAACCATAGTAACCATAGTAACCATAGTAACCATAGTAACCAGTAACCATAACCATAGTAACCATAGTAACCATAGTAACCATAGTAACCATAGTAACCATAGTAACCATAGTAACCATAGTAACCATAGTAACCATAGTAACCATAGTAACCATAGTAACCATAGTAACCATTAGTAACCATAGTAACCATAGTAACCATAGTAACCACAGTAACCATAGTAACCATAGTAACCATAGTAACCATAGTAACCAGTAACCATAGTAACCATAGTAACCACAGTAACCATAGTAACCATAGTAACCATAGTAACCATAGTAACCACAGTAACCATAGTAACCATAGTAACCATAGTAACCATAGTAACCACAGTAACCATAGTAACCATAGTAACCATAGTAACCATAGTAACCATAGTAACCATAGTAACCATAGTAACCATAAAGTAACCATAGTAACCATAGTAACCATAGTAACCATAGTAACCATAGTAACCATAGTAACCATAGTAACCACAGTAACCATAGTAACCATAGTAACCATAGTAACCATAGTAACCATAGTAACCATAGTAACCATAGTAACCATAGTAACCATAGTAACCATAGTAACCATAGTAACCATAGTAACCATAGTAACCCACAGTAACCATAGTAACCATAGTAACCATAGTAACCATAGTAACCATAGTAACCATAGTAACCTTAGTAACCTTAGTAGTAACCATAGTAACCATAGTAACCATAGTAACCATAGTAACCATAGTAACCATAGTAACCATAGTAACCATAGTAACCATAGTAACCATAGTAACCATAGTAACCATAGTAACCATAGTAACCATAGTAACCATAGTAACCATAGTAACCATAGTAACCTTAGTAACCATAGTAACCATAGTAACCATAGTAACCTTAGTAACCAGTAACCATAGTAACCATAGTAACCATAGTAACCATAGTAACCATAGTAACCATAGTAACCATAGTAACCATAGTAACCATAGTAACCATAGTAACCATAGTAACCTTAGTAACCATAGTAACCATAGTAACCATAGTAACCATAGTAACCATAGTAACCATAGTAACCAGTAACCAGTAACCATAACCATAGTAACCATAGTAACCACAGTAACCATAGTAACCATAGTAACCATAGTAACCATAGTAACCATAGTAACCATAGTAACCATAGTAACCATAGTAACCATAGTAACCATAGTAACCATAGTAACCTTAGTAACCATAGTAACCTTAGTAACCATAGTAACCATAGTAACCATAGTAACCATAGTAACCATAGTAACCACAGTAACCATAGTAACCATAGTAACCATAGTAACCATAGTAACCATAGTAACCATAGTAACCATAGTAACCATAGTAACCTTAGTAACCATAGTAACCATAGTAACCATAGTAACCAGTAACCATAGTAACCATAGTAACCATAGTAACCATAGTAACCATAGTAACCATAGTAACCATAGTAACCATAGTAACCATAGTAACCATAGTAACCATAGTAACCTTAGTAACCATAGTAACCATAGTAACCATAGTAACCATAGTAACCATAGTAACCATAGTAACATAGTAACCATAGTAACCATAGTAACCATAGTAACCATAGTAACCATAGTAACCATAGTAACCATAGTAACCAGTAACCATAGTAACCATAGTAACCTTAGTAACCAGTAACCATAGTAACCATAGTAACCATAGTAACCATAGTAACCATAGTAACCATAGTAACCATAGTAACCATAGTAACCATAGTAACCATAGTAACCATAGTAACCATAGTAACCATAGTAACCATAGTAACCATAGTAACCATAGTAACCATAGTAACCATAGTAACCATAGTAACCATAGTAACCATAGTAACCATAGTAACCATAGTAACCATAGTAACCATAGTAACCATAGTAACCATAGTAACCATAGTAACCATAGTAACCATAGTAACCATAGTAACCATAGTAACCATAGTAACCATAGTAACCATAGTAACCATAGTAACCATAGTAACCATAGTAACCATAGTAACCATAGTAACCATAGTAACCATAGTAACCATAGTAACCATAGTAACCATAGTAACCATAGTAACCATAGTAACCATAGTAACCATAGTAACCATAGTAACCATAGTAACCATAGTAACCATAGTAACCATAGTAACCATAGTAACCATAGTAACCATAGTAACCATAGTAACCATAGTAACCATAGTAACCATAGTAACCTTAGTAACCATAGTAACCATAGTAACCATAGTAACCATAGTAACCATAGTAACCATAGTAACCATAGTAACCATAGTAACCATAGTAACCATAGTAACCATAGTAACCATAGTAACCATAGTAACCATAGTAACCATAGTAACCATAGTAACCATAGTAACCATAGTAACCAGTTATATATATAATATACCATAGTTATGATCCATTTGTATGATTTTATATAAGGGATAAGCCACTTAACCGAGGACTTCTCAACCATGGCCTGACGCCAGGTCCCTGCAACGCCTAAACCACGACCGCCGCGCTTTGCGGTGGCCGGAGGATCCGAAAGCTCCGCTCCGAGGTTCTGAGGCGTGGTATATAATATATATATATATATGTATAATATGTATAATATGTATATATGTAACTAATATATGTATAATAAATTTGTATATTTAAGAAATCTAGTTGTCTAATATTAGATATGTTTATGGAAAAATGTATGTATATTCATATATTGTATACCTTATAAGTGAAAACCCTTCTGAGTTTCAGGTTCCCAAGTGTGAGACAACCCTCTACAATTCGCGCTGGCGGCAATGATCCCACAGTTTCCAGGTGACTCGCTCTGCTTTCAAGGAGGCACCACCGCTCCGTTGCTCATGACAATTGCAAATGGGCGCTTCCGAAACTAGGAACCTCACAACATGCGGGAAAAAACCCCTACAGTTGCGGCCACGCCGCAATGTTACAACAAACACATGTTGCAGTGTTCAAAAGGTTGAAAGATGATTATAGGGTCGCAATCCATTCGGGCAATCCCTGTCAACCGAGCAGTATAAAGGCCTGGCACAAGGTTTTGAACACTGCTCAAATGAGAAAAACTCTGCTCATGTGGCCTGGTCAAAAAGAGTGGCGCAAGACTGTAGCGCCCGCTGCGGCGCAGATTTTGCTGCGGGAGTGAAGCTGTTTTTGCTTCGAGGTCGTTGGAAGACACCCCAGGCAGTTATACTTTCAGCAAGACATTGAAGCCGAACTGAAGTCCAGTCAGACATCGAAGTTTGGAAACTGTAGGATCCTTTCAGAAACACCAAGCCAGCTACAAAAAGTCTTCAAAGTTGAACGCCATGGCTCGCTCTCCACTTGCTTCTCTTTTGGTGCTGGCCGGATGGAGGGATGTCTGGAAACGGGGGTATTGACTGTATTATGCTCCAATCCACGGCAATTTCAACTGTGAAAATGATGATTGTAGTGACCAGTAACCAAATGTGGCAATGGACAATTTCCAATTGCTATCTTTGATTACCAAAGGGCAAGCGTCCACCTCGGGGCCGCTCGGAAGTGGCAGTCGCAGTGGTTTGGTGAAAGAAAGGCTCAACAATTTCAAGATTTTCAAGTTCATTCAGCCAAAAAACAGATTCAGATTCACATGATCTCTGGAAACTGTATATATATATACATATAGATATATATATACATACATATAATTATATATATTATATATATATAAGCCTCCAATATTTTTGGGTACCCCGCTGCATCCATGGTTGATGCCCATTTTCCCACTGTTTTCCGGCGTTTCTCCGCTCGCAGGCCGCTCTTGCCTTCATCGTGACGCAGCTGTCTGCCTTTGTGCCAAGCCCCCAACAGGTCGCACGAACGGAGATGCAACAGGCGGTGCTTGAAAGTGTCAATGGTACCCGGCCTGGTAATGACTAGCAGTTTGCTATTGAAAATCACCATAGAAATAGTGGATATGTTCATTAAAACTGGTGATTATCCATAGTAAACATACAAAAAGCTATTGAAAATGGCCCAGTCGAAATAGTGGATTTATCCATTAAAAAATGGTGATTTTTGATAGTTATGTTAGTTTACCAGAGGGTAAATGGTGGAATTTTGTCGCTCCATTTTTGAAATGTGTGGTTGTGGCGAAGTAAGATCTAGGGAAATACATGGAGCTGATGGAATCACTTCAGATGTTTTTTGGTCCAATGAACTTTTTTTTGTTTTAAATGTAGCTTTCAAAAATAGAATTCTGTAAAGCCGATGACTTTGTTCAGTACTTTCAGATTAGTTGGTTCTGTTGCAGATAGATGGCGTCATTTGCTTTCAGGAGTTGTTCTACCTACTAATCAATGGAAAACAAGATTCTCGTCCTCGAATTTCCGTGCTTTGGTAGGGGGATTTACACATATTTGGAACCATTTAGTTCAAAGGGGCTGTTTAACGTCAAGGGATGGGATAGTTCTCGTCCTATCCATTACCTACTTTGGCTACTCATCACCTGCTAGGCCCAGGCTACAGTTGTGGCTGCTGGCTGGGCCGCGGCCGCTGCCATGCCTGAGCCAGCTTTGGCAGCCCGAGTGGAAGAGGAGGACGAGGTAGCAAGATCACTGGATGGGGAAGTGGTTTTTGTTAAAAACAAACGTTAACACTGCTTCAAGATCATGACAAATTATTCACCATCCCTTTTTTCCCATCCAAAAACCGGGATTTATGATATTTATGGATCCATAGTTATGATATTGTCATGATAATAATAATAGTGATGATCCAAATATATTTATTTATCACAATGTAGTAACTATATTGTAGTAACTATTGGTGATTTATGGATTGGTCACTGTCACCATTTCCACCGGGCTCGGTGTGCGCAACCCATCAGGGCTTCGATCTTCGCATCTTGGCCGTGCTGGCGCTGCCGCTCTTTGCCGTCTCCTGGGCATTGTTCAACGTGCCATGGATGCCATGGGGCTATGAAGTGCCCACAGGTCTTAGGGCCATTTTTGTCTGGTAAAAAAGGTTTTTCAAATGACCCAACATCATTGGTTTGCAAAAGACAAATATACAGTAATTATATATATATATGACATTATATGAATAAATACATCATGACATATCATTAGATCACCATTTTCCCCTTGCTTACAGCGGCATTTTTCCTTGGGACCCGACTGGGAAGTGGCCCCGACAGTCGTGGCCGAGGTCTGGCGCGTGGCCTTCCGACAAGTCGTGCGCATCGGGGAGAGTGCCAAGGTGGGACGGGAAGTGCCATGGAAATGCCAAAGATTTGGAAAGACCCAAGGGGTTCAACTTGTTCAACCAGTTTCTGGAGATTTTCTGGAGATTTTCTGGAGATTTTTAGAGCGACTGATCTGAAAATCGCCAGGGCAACCCGCTTTGAGTGCCCGTTGGATCTGAAGATTTTTTGGAGAGCCACTTCCTTCACAAGAGGCAGTGGCGCTTGTGGCGTCACGGTGTCGCTTGCTTAGAGCGGCGTCACGGAACAATGAGCCACCAGATCGCGGAGAAAGGAAGCTGCTGCCCTGGCCGAGAAGATGTGATATGAATTGATATGATTAGCATCCTGAAAAATCCATGATTGAACGTGGGTGTCAGAAGACTTTCTAAAAAAGATTACGAAAGTCCGTCCTTTAAGCTTTCCTTGGGGGTTTCCCGGGGTTCCCTTCCAACATCACCAGGTTTTGGTGGATTTTGACCTATGCAGGCGATGGAACTGGCCAACAGCCCTGCATGTCGCTTGGCTCGAAGGCTGCCACAAAGCTGGGTCAGAGCCTTGGAGTATCGGCCGGAACGCCCAAAAAAGTTGGAATTAAAACAATGGATATGATCCCTGAAGATAGGGCACCCCGGAAATCTACTTCTGACATCTTCTGATTGTTTGTACTTTATAGTATTTGAACGGTGAATCGATTCATTTCTTTCGAGTCTATTTTGTAGACTTATTTGCCACAATAGCCGCTCTTGTTTGTAGGTGGCCATGAATACATCTGAAACGGGAGTTAGGGTTCAGAAAGTGCGGATGATGCTGAGCTCAATTTTTCCCGAGGGAAAGTCAAGTTCTTGAGAAGAGCCAAGATCCGCGCAAAGTGCAACTTTGAACACCTGAATGATGAGGACAATCTTGTCAGGTCTCGTTCGGCTGAGGCCCACTTGATGAGTCCAAGAATTTACACCACTCATAGGCTGACGGTGCAAAGAGCAGCACAACCTCCCATGGTGACAATGCCATGAGTCTCGTGTGGGATTGAGCTTATGTCCTGTAATTTGATTGACGGGTTCCATGCCCATGTACTAGCGATTGTTGGCTAAGATGAATAGGGTAAGCCTCAAACTTCTCCGACCCTTGCAGGGAATGAGGCTTCTGAACCTGTGTCATGATTCTGAGCCACAATGTACAAAAGTTGCGGGTGGTTGATCAGCCTTGAACATGAACTGGTTCTGTTCGCATGGAGGATGCTCCAGAACCAGTTGAGAGCAACTTGCGGACTTTGCACCAGCTTGAAGACTGTGCATGATGCTTCTCACCTGAATGATGAGGACAATCTTGTCAGGTCTCGTTCGGCTGAGGCCCACCTGATGAGTCCAAACATTTACACCACTCATAGGCTGACGGTGCAAAGAGCAGCACAACCTCCCATGGTGACAATGCCATGAGTCTCGTGTGGGATTGAGCTTATGTCCTGTAATTTGACCGAGGGGGTTCCATGCCCATGTACTAGCGATTGTTGGCTAAGATGAATAGGGTAAGCCTCAAACTTCTCCGACCCTTGCAGGGAATGAGGCTTCTGAACCTGTGTCATGATTCTGAGCTACTATGACTAAGACTCCAATATTGTCTTGCACTTGCTGTGTGAAAGTGGCTAAGTGGGCCTGGTGGTGTTCGAAAGTCAGGCTTTGTGGTTGCATCTGTTTGCAGCAAGGACGAATCGAGTCAGTCTCGAAATCTGTGCTGACCCCTTGGGGAGTGAGGGTTCAGAAAGTGCGAATGATGCTGAGCTCAATATTTTACGAGAGAAAGTCAAATTTTTGAGAGTAGCCAAGATCCTCGCAAAGTGCAACTTTGAACACCTGAATGATGAGGACAATCTTGTCAGGTCTCGTTCGGCTGAGGCCCACTTGATGAGTCCAAAAATTTACACCACTCATAGGCTGACGGTGCAAAGAGCAGCACAACCTCCCATGGTGACAATGCCATGAGTCTCGTGTGGGATTGAGCTTATGTCCTGTAATTTGATTGAGGGGGTTCCATGCCCATGTACTAGCGATTGGTGGCTAAGATGAATAGGGTAAGCCTCAAACTTCTCCGACCCTTGCAGGGAATGAGGCTTCTGAACCTGTGTCATGATTCTGAGCTACTATGACTAAGACTCCAATATTGTCTTGCACTTGCTGTGTGAAAGTGGCTAAGTGGGCCTGGTGGTGTTCGAAAGTCAGGCTTTGTGGTTGCATCTGTTTGCAGCAAGGACGAATCGAGTCAGTCTCGAAATCTGTTCTGACCACTTGGGGAGTGAGGGTTCAGAAAGTGCGAATGATGCTGAGCTCAATATTTTACGAGAGAAAGTCAAGTTCTTGAGAGTAGCCAAGATCCTCGCAAAGTGCAACTTTGAACACCTGAATGATGAGGACAATCTTGTCAGGTCTCGTTCGGCTGAGGCCCACTTGATGAGTCCAAGAATTTACACCACTCATAGGCTGACGGTGCAAAGAGCAGCACAACCTCCCATGGTGACAATGCCATGAGTCTCGTGTGGGATTAAGCTTATGTCCTGTAATTTGATGGAGGGGGTTCCATGCCCAGGTACTAGCGATTGTTGGCTAAGATGAATAGGGTAAGCCTCAAACTTCTCCGACCCTTGCAGGGAATGAGGCTTCTGAACCTGTGTCATGATTCTGAGCCACAATGTACAAAAGTTGCGGGTGGTTGATCAGCCTTGAACATGAACTGGTCCTGTTCGCATGGAGGATGCTCCAGAACCAGTTGAGAGCAACTTGCGGACTTTGCACCAGCTTGAAGACTGTGCATGATGCTTCTCACCTGAATGATGAGGACAATCTTGTCAGGTCTCGTTCGGCTGAGGCCCACTTGATGAGTCCAAGAATTTACACCACTCATAGGCTGACGGTGCAAAGAGCAGCACAACCTCCCATGGTGACAATGCCATGAGTCTTGCGTGGGATTGAGAACAGTTCGATTGAAGGCCATGTCACGAAAGGTAGCGTCAGCTACCTGAGTTCTCCGTGCTTCAGCACAATCATAGGGGGTATTGGGGGGCCAGCCCGTGGAAAACGTAGACTTCTCGACGTTATGTATTAGATATCAATTATAAGGGGGGCCCCCCCGTACGATGGACAGTTCGAGGCTATTTGGCAGTTAGCAGCTACCAGTAGGTGTTTACATAAGAGTCGATGATAAGTAGGAGCGCTGGAGGCGCTGGAGGCGCTGGAGGCGCTGAAGGCGCTGAAGGCGCTGAGGGCGCTAAGGGCGCTGAGGGCGCTGAAGGCGATGAGGGCGCTGGAGGCGCTGAAGGCGCTGAAGGCGCTGAGGGCGCTGAAGGCGCTGAAGGCGCTGAGGGCGCTGAGGGCGCTGAAGGCGCTGAGGGCGCTGAAGGCGCTGAGGGCTGGAGGCGCTGAAGGGCGCTGTGAGGCGCTGAAGGGCGCTGAGGGCGCTGAGGGCGCTGAAGGCGCTGAAGGCGCTGAAGGCGCTGAGGGCGCTGAGGGCGCTGAGGGCGCTGAAGGCGCTGAGGGCGCTGAGGGCGCTGAAAGCGCTGAGCGCGCTGAGGGCGCTGAGGGCGCTGAAGGCGCTGAGGGCGCTGAAGGCGCTGAAGGCGCTGAGCTGAGGCGCTGAGGCGCTGAGGGCGCTGAGGGCGCTGAAGGCGCTGAGGGCGCTGAAGGCGCTGAAGGCGCTGAGGGCGCTGAGGGCGCTGAGGCGCTGCGCTGAGGGCGCTGAGGGCGCTGAGGGCGCTGAGGGCGCTGAAGGCACTGAGGGCGCTGAGGGCGCTGAGGGCGCTGAAGGCGCTGAGGGCGCTGAGGGCGCTGAGGCGCGCTGAAAGGCTGAGGGCTGAGGGCGCTGAGGGCGCTGAAGGGCGCTGAGGGCGCTGAGGGCGCTGAAGGGGCTGAAGGCGCTGAGGGCGCTGAGGGCGCTGAGGGCGCTGAAGGGCGCTGAGGGCGCTGAGGGCGCTGAGGGCGCTGAGGGCGCTGAGGGCGCTGAGGGCGCTGAGGGCGCTGAAGGCGCTGAGGGCGCTGAGGGCGCTGAGGGCGCTAAAGGCGCTGAGGGCGCTAAAGGCGCTGGAGGCGCTGAGGGCGCTGCGCTGGAGGCGCTAAAGGCGCTGAAGGCGCTGGAGGCGTTCGAGAAATTCTTTATCAAGCCGATCTGCTTGATATTATCTTTCTCATATTGCGTTTCTTGGCCTTCGCTACTGATGTTGTGCTTCTTGATTTTCTTGATGTTCTAAGTTGTTATGCCATATGCTCTTTGGTCTTGTCTTTATGATGATACGTTGCTTGATCTTCTCTGCCTCATGCTACGCTGCTTGACCTTCCCTGCCTCATGATGCTTGATGTCTTCTTCACCACGTTATTCTTTTTGATCTTGTCTTCGTGTTTTTTACGCTGCTTGATCTTCTCTATATCAAGCCATACTGCTTGCCTTTAACAAAGCCATGTTTTGCTGCTTGGTCTTCTCTGTATCATGTTAGGCTACCGGATCTTGTCTTTATGATGCCAGGCTGCTTGATCTTATCTACTTCATGCTGCGCTGCTTCACCCTCCCTACCTCATGTCAAACTGCTTGATGTCGTGTACATCAGGTTATGAAATTTGATCTGTTCTTCATGATGCTAGGCTGCTTGGTCTTCTCTATCTCCTGTTACGCTGCTGGGCCTTCCCACCTCATGTCAGGCTGCTTGATGTCCCCTAAATCGTGTTATGCTTTTTGTTTTTGTTTCACGCTGCACGCTGCTGCATTGTTTGATCTTATCCTCCTCATGCTACGCTGCTTCACCACCCGCCCTACCTCCTGTTGCTTGGTGTTTTCGACATCAGATCTTTGACTTTTGATAGTTTGATCTTGCCTTGGCGATGCTACACTGCTCGACCTTGACTACCTCATGTTGCGCTGCCTGATGTCCCCTACATCAGGTTGTGCTTTTTGATCTGGTCTGCATGGTGCTAGGCTGCTTGATCTTCTCCGCCTCATGCTGCCGCTTGATCTCCCCTGCCTATCCCTGCGTCATGTTAAGCTGCTTGATCTTCTCTGAATGATGTTATGCTACTCGATCTGGTCTTCATAATGCCACGCTGCTTGATTGTCTCTACCTCATGCTACGCTGCTGAACCTTCCCTACCGCATGTTATGTTTCTTGGTGTTCCCTGTGCCATCATGTTATGCTGTTTGATCTTGCCATCAAGACGGTGCGCTGCTTGATCTTCTATACCTCATGCTACGTTCTTGACCTTCCTTTGTTATGTTGCTTGTGTTCTCTATATATATTGTTGAGTTTTTTGTCTGATCTTCATGCTGCTACGCTGCTTGACCTTCTCTACCTCTTGTTAGGCTTCCTGGGCTTCCCTACCTCGTGTGATGCTGCTTAATGTGCTCTGTATCATACTGTGCTATTCGGTCTTGCCCTCACGATGCTACGCTGCATGATTCCCTACTTGGTCTTGTCTTCATGATGCTACGCTGCTTGGTCTTCTCTACATCATGCCTTGCTACGCAGCGAATGAATTTCATCAGCAAAGGTTTTAGCACCCAAAACTATTCTGGGAGCACAAGTTTTTCGTGTTTGGCATCAGCAGCGTCATTAGTTGCCATTTTCTGGTTTCAGCTAGAAAAAAGCGCTGGCGAGGTGAGGCGCCCAAAATTGCAGATTCTGTGACGGAACTGATGGTCAAAAGACAACAACTCACTTTCATCAAGCAGAAACCAACTCACTTTCATATATTTTTTACCTCCCTGCCAAAGCGTGCACAAGCGCTCTTGGAATGAAGAGACGGGCACGCCCTCAAACCTTTCGCTGTCAAGCAAACGCCGCGCAGCACCTGGTAAGTCTTGTATATACTCTATCCGCCAAATAAACGCGAAGCGTCCATAGCACGGGCCCCCCCCCCCTCTAAAATGGTCATGGGTTCAATTCCCACGGGTGACGCGGTCACGGTCCGCCACAGTAGAGGCACACTCTCCATGAGGGAGATGTCCCTGTAGTCCAGCATAATTGGTTTGCTTCAGCCTCAATAACAGTTGCTGCAAGGGGTCTTAAAAAGGGGTTTTTAAATAAACCCCTTTTCGTGCATCATTTCACGCTGCACAAGACACCGTATCATGCAGTCATGCTCTGGATAAAATCATCTTAGACTGCGCAAAAAAGTTTTTGGTGTATCATCTTAGGGGCGCAGCATTTTGACACCACTCCTCTCCCACTACACTACCTTTCGTCCGCCTCCGCCTGCTCTCAAGTATATATATATACTTTTGCGGTATGTGGGCGAAGATGAGTAGGGTAAGCCTCAAACTTCTCCGACCCTGGGAATAACGCTTCTGAACTTGTGTCAGTATTCTGAGGAACCAAGACATTTCCTTGTCATCATTGTACTTTCTGTCTCTTTTTGTTGTTTGCTGTTCGCTGATTTTGTTGTGTACAGTTCCCTGGCGCAGACTGGCCATTGCGGTAATGATGTGTGACTTTTCCCTGAAAACTGTGATTCTCGGTGTCGTGTTTCATTCATGTGTACGGTATGGGCATCCATTCACCTGCTGTAATAGCAAGCTGATCATGTAATGCGGCTTACGCCGGTCAACCCAAAGCCATAAACATCATAAACCATCCCCAATAGAGGTTAAACATATTGGGTATGCCCATATTTGGGATTATTTAAACAATATATATATATATATATGTATAGTCGAAGGAAGTTTAGAAGTCAAACTTCCGACAGTATGGAGAGATGAAAAGCAGAGCAGGGCAGAGGCACAGAGAAGAGGAAGATTAGAAGAGAGAAGATCAGAAGAGAAAGAGTAAGAGGACAGACGCTACAGATGCGCGAAAAGGTAGGAAAGTCGCGAAACACTGTGTTTTTCCAATGATTTGTGGCGCCGGAGGGTCGAAAAGTAGGCTCGCTAAAGCGGCGGGTGCGGAGCCAGCTGGCCACAGGAGCGATGCAAAATTGCACGCCGTTGTGGCGCGAAGCACATTTCCAAGTCAAAATGTACAAAACACCAGGGGTTCGGACCACTTTTGGAAGTTGAGATGTCGAAAAAGTGCACGCCGTTGTGGCGCGAAGCACATTTCCAAGTCAAAATGTACAAAGCACCTCAGCTCCGGACCACTTTTGGAAGTTGCGATGTCGAAAAAGTGCACGCCGTTGTGGCGCGAAGCACATTTCCAAGTCAAAATGTACAAAGCACACCATTCTCGGACCACTTTTGGAGGTTCAGATGTCGAAAAAGTGTCTAAAAAGTGCACGCCGTTGTGGCGCAAAGCACATTTCGAAGTCAAAAGTGTCAAAAACTGAGGGTTTTGAGCCTTTTTTGACGTTAAGATGTCGAAAAAGTAGACACTGCTTAACTTAACTAACTTGACTAACTTCACTAACTTAACTACCCTAACTTCGACGACAACAGCAACAGCAACAACAACAACACCACCAACCACAGCAACTACAACTACAACAACTACAACTACAACTACAGCTACAGCTACAACTACACAACAACTACAACTACAACTAGAACTGCAACTACAACAACTACAACAACAACAGCAACAACAACAACAGCAACAACAACAACAACAACAACAACAACAACAACAACAACAACAACTACAGCAACTACAACAACTACAACAACTACTACTACAACTACACTACACAACAACTACAACCACACAACAACTACAGCTACAACAACAACAACAACAACAACAACTACTACTACAACAACAACAACTACAACAACTACAACTACAACTACAACTACAAAACAACTACAGCTACAACTATATGACTGCAACTACACTACACTAATTACATTACACCACAACTACAACTCCACTACGCTACAACTACAACTACAGTTGCAGTACATCACACTACATCCAGCAGTTTGTGGGTGAGGTGACCACTGCAACCATTGCAACCACCCAGCAAACACAACTCCAACCACCTTTCGGTCAATCAGTGGATTCGCTCTGCCATCCGTGATTCACAACAACCAACGTCTCCTATAGGTTTCCTATTCTGAAACTTCCGCCACCGCCTTGTGCGGCACTACTGGTATATATATATATATAAGGACCCCCTAAATGGTTGGTCAATGGGATGGTTTTTCAGAAAGGTTGACGTGATTTGCCGTGCCCAGGTTGTTGAACGAGGAACGATCGAACTGTGATGGCTTGAAATTCAGAGAAGATGTGCGTGGACTGCTAGAAAAGGCAATCAGGAAGATCTTTTTCCTCTGTTCGTCAGAGAATGCTGCAGAAGTGCTCCATTGTTGCGTTGGTCAGAAAGGTCAGAAACTTGAGACTTCACTGCCTGGGGTAATGTGGCTCCAATAAATCGTCCCATGATTGTTGCGTTGAGCAAACTGTAGTGAAGATAGCTCAAGTCCAACGAACTTGTTGATCACAAGGCCACACAAAAGGCTGTTCAGTTGTGGTACGGGCTCCAGCAATGGAACGTGTCAATTGTCAAAACATCAGCTTCAACAGTGTGCGGTGAAGCTTAGCCTGTCAAGTTGCAGGCGAAATGTAGAATTTCACTTCAACAAAAACAGCCGTTCGATGTTCAACAAAACATCTCCTGAAATCTGTGGCCTGGCAAACCATGGGGTCAAGAAGTGTGATCATGTGATTTATCATCTTCACAAGAACCACATAACTCACATAACATCACAGTTTTCCAGCCATGCCGATCTATGGCTCCTCCGGTATCAGTGGGGCACGGATGCATCGCAGCAATGTGCCGCCCTGGGCGGTGCGTTTGCGGGGCATCAAGACATGGTCGTTTCACCATGGACCATGGATTTTAGTTTCTGAAACATCTCAAAGATGGGGGGGGAACTATGAAAAATGGTGATTGAACTATGAAAAATGAGGATTTATCTATTAAAAGATGCGGTTGAACTTTAAAGAATTGGGGTTTCGCCAGTCAATAGAATCATGGATATGGGTTTGTCCAAAAATAGTGGATAGTGGCATTTTCTACCATTTTCTAATGGAAAAAAGGTGGGCATTGGATGGCTCCTGTCAGTTGAATCCTGGGGGTCCATCACGTCGTGGTCTCTACCAAGAATGCTGGGTTTCAAAGTTAGACCAGCACCCACCAGCTGAGTCAAGATTTAAGTATAACAGGGATCCGAGGCAAGCGACGGTTGGGGGTCATGGGGTCATTTTCAATATCCGAAACATTGAACCATCCATTTTGATCATTTTTCCCCTCTGTCCACACTGAGGGGTTCTCATGGTAGGTGTTAAAGGCCGGAGTTAGAGGGGACGGTCTCTGGGGCGCGGCATTTTTGCTGTGAATTCTCGCATAAAACTGCTCTTGTGAGATGTCCATGTCACGAAAGGTAGCGTCAGCTACCTGAGTTCTCCGTGCTTCAGCACAAGCTTAGGGGGTATTGGGGGGCCAGCCCACGGAATTCATGGAATTCTCGCCGTTATGTATTGGATATCAATTATAAGGGGGGGGGGGCCCGTGGCAGGGAAAAACACGTACTATGTGGCGCGGCGCGTTTTTCGCAAAAATTTACCCTACGTTGCGCCAAAAAAAACAAATTTTCCCACACACACTATTAAAGGATATGCTCTATACTGCACTTTCACCTGACCAGCCCCCTCAATGACCTTCTCCACCCACTCCAACAGATGGTTCTTGCTCTTGACATGTCTTATCTTCTTGCATTTTCTCACCTTACACCCACAGATCAAACAGTCATCTTCCCTATGAAATTCCTTCGTGCATTTGCGCACTTCACTCTTACGTTCATCCCTATATTTCTTGCTCATCTCTTTCACTCTGTCACCGTTCTTTTCTTCTCGTTTTCTTATGCATCGGAACCCACATCACAGGTAGAATTGTCTTCCCTATACGTATCCAATTTTCTATTCGCCCACCACTTCCTACAGTTTTGAGTCAGTAACAATTTCATGTTCCACCCTGAAGGAACAATGATCTCGCTCTTACGTTTCTTTGTTCACAATTGCTTCATCCATGCTTCAGCTGGGGCGTGGCAGGGAAGATTGGGACCTATTTGACCGGTGCGCGTGCGCGTAGCATAAAAAAAACACGCCTTCTACTTGCTTCATTTCGCAACCTTGTTTTGGCCCAAACGCATTCACCACGCCAATCCCGTCACACGAGCAAGGTGCATACTCTATCTATATTCCATCTATGATCTTGTCTATCCCTCCCATTATCTATGCTAGTTCCACGGGAGCACGGGTTGGCTGCCCCAGCTTGGGCTGAAGGATTCTCTCCATCACCTCCTTCCAATTTATTTATATACCTATCTACCTGTATCTGTCGATCTATCTATCTATATGTCTTTCTACCTACCTACCTACCTATCTATCTATCTGTCTATCTGTCTATCTGTCTATCTATCTGTCTTTCTACCTACCTACCTACCTAACTAACTATCTATCTATCTATCTATCCATCCATCTATCTATCGATCTATCCATCTATCCATCTATCTGTCCACCTCTCTATCTACCTATCTACTTATCTACCTATCTACCTATCTACCTATCTACCTATCTACCTATCTACCTATCTACCTATCTACCTATCTATCTATCTATCTATCTACCTACTTCCATTCTAGTACCAAATTGCTGTTGCGAAGGTGGTAGGATTAAGTGATTATAGGAAGCCCCAGGTCCACTACCCCCACTGCAGGGGTAATCTAAATAAATGAACAAACGAGAAATGGGAAGTGTACTAGGCTGAAGGTCTCCGCTGAGAAAGGTACATCTGCAACCTTTGCAACGGCAAATGCATCCTAGCATGGGAAGATTAGGGAAATGGAGCGAGAAGAAAATGCAAAGTGCATTACAAAGACGTAACAAAAGCACCCTTACAACAACGAATGGGGCCTAGGCACAAACATTATGAAGAGATAATTGCTTATAGTACCAGCACTGCATATGGGTAAAGAAGAGTGACTGCCCTAGGTGGAAAGATGAAGGCGCTCTGTCAAGACGTAAATCTGCCACCCTTACAACAGCAAATAGACACTAGCCCTGCCACCTGCACACCGTGGGAGAAATCGGCCTCTCTGCTGCTCATTTTTCTGCCCTGGAGGGTCTGAATGTGGTATGGCTCGTATCTACCTGTCGTTGCAATGATGGCAAGTTTATGTCTCTTAGGAAGGCCTTCGGCCTAGTACTCTATCCACTTGTCTTCTTATCAAGATATTTTGTCTGAAGGCAAATGGTAGCGCCAGTATCTGTTTCTCGTCGCAAGGGTGGTAGGCGCACATCTTTAAGAAGAACCTTCGGCCTAGTACCGTTTCCACTTTTCTTCTTCACATTTTCCTCTTCAGAAGGCCCTGAATGCGGCAGAACTACTATCTATCTGTCGTGGTAAGGGTGGTAGGTTTATGTCTTTGAGGAAGGCCTTCGGCCTAGTAACGTGTCCACTGCTCTTCTTCACCTTGTCTTCTTTCCACTCCTCATTGTTGTTTTTCTGACGGCTCTGAATGTGGTAGGGCTAGTACCAATCTGTCGTTGCAAGGGTGGTAGGTTTATGTCTTTTAAGGGGGCCTTTGGCCTAGTACACTTCTCTTCTTCACTTTATCTTCTTCAGAAGGCTGTACATGTGATAGGACTAGTACCTGTTTGTCATTGCAAGGGTGGTAGGCGCATGTCTTTGAGGAAGGCCTTCGGCCCGGTACCGTTTCCACGTCTCTTCTTCACACTGTCTTCTTCACAAGGCTCTGAATGTGGTAGGGCTAGTACCTATCTGTCGTTGCAAGGGTGGTGGGTTTATGTCTTTTAGAGGAGCCTTCGGCCTCGTACACTTCATTTCTCGTCTTTTCCTCGTGGGATGAACGTGGTGGGGCTTTGCAGTTCGAACGAGAAGACGCTTCCCAGTTTCAATTTTGAAGGCTTGCCTCTTACTAGTGCTTCATGTTCACCGTATGTCATGTACTCTTCTTCTCCCCTTCCTTTTACTTGGTTGAGGGTGGAAGGGTTGGATCATTGGGGCATGAAAGAGCACACTTAACGACGTAAGTAGATAAATGCAATATAGATATATGTATAAAAATATATTTTTATATTAGATATGTAAAGTAAATAAATATATATGTGTGTAAACATATGTAAACACATACACTTACATACACATGTACCGTGGCTACACATCTATGTATCTTTCTGCTTATGTATCTCTTCCAACCAACTCCCTAGCTCTAAACCTCGTCTTTTTTACTTACTAACTCACTGAATCACTGACTGTCTGTCAATTTATCTAGATTACCCCTGCACTTCTGCCCTTTTCTTGGAATTTGTCTCAGAGCCTGCAGATGGCAGGGCTAGTATCTATTTGTTGTTGCGCGGGTGGCAGGTTGATGTCTTTAGGCAGGCCTTCGCCGCTCTCTTCTGCTCATTGTTCTGTTCTGGAGGGTCTGAAAGTGGTATGGGTCGTGTATATCTGTCGTTGCAATCATGGTAGGTTTGCGTCTTTAGGAAGGCCTTCGGCCTACTGCTCTAGCCACTTGTCTTCTTGTCAAGACTCCAAGACACCTATCCGAAGGCACGTGGCAGCGCTAGTATCTATTTCTCGTCGCAAGGGTGGTCGGCGCATGTCTTTAAGAAGAACCTTCGGCCTGGTAACGTGTCCACTGCTCTTCTTCACCTTGCCTTCCTCTTTTCACTCCTCATTGTGATTTTTCTGAAGGCTCTGAATGTGGTAGGGCTACTACCAATCTGTCGTTGCAAGGGTGGTAGGTTTATGTCTTTTACGGGGGCCTTCGGCTTAGTACACTTCTCTTTCACTTTATCTTCCTCTGAAGGCTGTACATGTGATAGGACTAGTACCTGTTTGTCATTGCAAGGGTGGTAGGCGCATGTCTTTTAGGAAGGCCTTCGGGCCGGTACTGTTTCCACGTCTCTTCTTCACACTGTCTTCTTCACAAGGCTCTGACTGTGGTAGGGCTAGTGCCTATCTGTCATTGCAAGGGTGGTGGGTTTATGTCTTTTAGGGGGGCCTTCGGCCTAGTACACTTCCCATTTCTCGTCTTTTCCTCGTGGGATGAACATGGTGGGGCTTTGCATTTCGAATGAGAAGACGCTTCCCAGTTTCAATTTTGAAGGCTTGCCTCTTACTAGTGCTTCATGTTCACCGTATGTCATGTACTCTTCTGCGCCCATTCCTTTTACT